AGCGCACAATGGGGAGTGGTAATTGCTCTGGTCAACACAAACACTACTTTTCAAATCTATCTATTGATCTCGTTAAGGAACGCTGCTTAAAAATAGCTGATGCGCGATCGGCACGTTTCGGGCCCGTTGGCAATCATGTGGCCCCCGCGCCCAAAGATGCCACAAGGGTGTTAAAATTGCCTGTTTGCCAAATCCCTAACACTGGCTTTCTATGCTTAGGTGCCAAATGTTGGCTAAATTTGCCACATATGTTAGACCGTTTTATCGGCACCCCTTTGTCAAGCTAATGGACCTAAGTATACACAGAGAAAATTTGATTTAAAAGTAGTTATCAGTGAAAATTCTCTGATTCTCAATTTTGATTTCTTAAAAAGTTTTTGATCTAATACACAAAATTAACAACATTAAATTATTCTCAACCACATCACAAACTTATTCTGAAAATTTTGCGGTTACATTATAAATCTATAATTTTTAACTTTTTAAGATTTAACATATTTTTTTAGAGATTCAGATATAACTTACGGCGGCGTCTGCGGGTTGACCATGTCGAATAGCTCGTTGGCGGTGGTGGGCACTCGCCGGATGACCAGCTTGCGTCCGTCCGTGGACCCAATGCCGATGGAGGCCAGCGAGCGAACGGAGGTCACATCGGAGTAGATCTGGTTGCCGGCCAGGTCGTGAAACTGATAGGAACTGCCGCTCAGCGAGGCCTGCGGTTGCATGTAGAGCGGATTGGGGGCCTGTAATCCGGAAGTGGCCATCGATATGCCTCCGACCAGATTGTTACTGCTGTCGCTCAGACCCGGAAGGTAACCTGTATGGGATTTCGCAAAACATTTCAATAATAATTGCAGGTGAAAAGATAATCCCAAATAATCACAAATATGTTGCAGTAAGAACTGGGATTCAAAAGATATAGATAAAGGTAATGAGCGCTAAAAATAAATTGAATTTATGTACCAACTGAGGTTATTATTAATTAATAGAACTCTTTTTATTATTACCAATATTAAAAATAATTTGGCATTTTTTAAATGTTTTCCTGAGTGTTTTGGATTTAAAATTTGCAATACCCTGCTAAAGAGTATAACAATTATTCATGTCAATATTTAACAACCGCCAAACAAAATAGATTTGAACAAGTTTTTACTCTACATTGATAGGTTTTAAAGTTAGTTATTATGAGTATTAGAAGGTGTACAACCGCTCAGAAATTCATTAAAAAAACTTTTTTTGAAATTCATGAAATTACTTGTATAACAATATAATTATGAATAGATAAACTACTGTTTTGGTTTATGGGAATGAACCACAGAGTTGAAAAATAAAGCACTTATCTATTTTTGTTATGGGCTTAGAACTTACTTTGTTATTTTAGTCCCATTCCATTTTAAACATTCGCTATAAAGTAATGATGTACTTAAGAGCTAGACATTTAATTATATGTAGGACAACATTTTCAAAAGCCTTTTCAAGTGCATGTAATTAAAAGATTTAGAGGGGCTTCCAAAGCAAAGCAATTGAGTACGAGCAATTACATATAAGTATTTGTAAACTAAATATGCGCATGCGGGGAGTGGAAAGTGGGTTGTGAGGGTCACCAACCTGAGACCACGGAGCGCATGCTGCTGTGGTGGCTGCCAATCCGAGATCGCAGCTCCATGCTGAGCGGCGAGATGGCCACCGAATCTCCGGCCATGGTGGTGGTGGTGGTGCAGGTCAGGGTGGCGGGTGTGGGTGAGATAGCGGGCACGGGAGCAGGAGTAGGATTCTGAGCGGCCTGACCATCGCAGTCATCGATGGTGAAGGTCACCGTGGAGGTGGATCCCGCTGCTGTTGGTGGCTGCGTCTGCGTCTGCACCTGTCCTGGTAGTAATACCTCCGAACTGGGCCTGGACTTCACCGAGGTCTGGCGATTGGGCGGTTGCTTGTGCAAAGCCGCCATGGCTGCCAGCGCGGTGGTGGAGCTGGTCTGGCGGAAGGGCAGTGGTCCTGGTCCTGCACCCGTTCCCGGCGGTGTTCCCGGCGTGGCTGGGATGATGATAAACTTGTGGGTCCGCGACGAAGGCGATCGGATGAGCCGCGACTGCTCATCGCCTTCGTAGCAACTCTCGGCACCACTGTCAGAAAGTTGGCTGTGCCGCAATGGAGCCAAGCCACTGGGCGGTGGAGAACGAGTGGACACCACTTGGTCAGGTGTGGTAGTCGGCATCTGCCTGGCATTTTTATTGTCCGTCATTTGGAAGTCTGAGAGGGAAGGCCTCTCTGCGGAAAATTCGTGTTGCTGTTGTCAATGTGTTGCAGGTTGCTAGTTGCTGGTTGCTAGTTGATGCTTGCTGGTTGCTATTTGCAGGTCGCTCTATCATAACATCATGTTTAATGCGATCTGTTGTTGGTTTTTGCACGGGTTCGGTGAGGCTGGGACCACTTTCATATCTATCATTTTTAATGTTCGCAATCTGCGATTGCGAGTACTGGCTGACACAATTTTAAATCACATTTAAACCTTGAATTGCACAATGTTGTTATTGTTTGCCGCGTGAGTTTAAGCTTTTAAATTTAAATAGACTAAATCATGTGAAAGCCAGCACGAGTTATCTTTATTTGACTTAATAGGGCTGATTACTTTCTTGAAGTTTCGCTTTAAAACTTAACAAAACTAGGGACACAATTTGTACTGATTTAAAAATATTTTTCATTATTTTATGTGTACTCTAATTTTTTTGTTTTGTAATGTACTAAGTCTTGTTGTTTTATTCCCAAGAAAATTGTTATCACTTTCTCGAGAATTCACTTTCCCAACTAATTGGGGTCTCATAAAAATGGGTAATTTTTATGACAACTTTATATATTTTTCATATTTGTTTATATAAATAAACAAACTGAAGTTTTGTCCCATTTTTATTTTATTTTATCACCAACGCAGATAAACCCGCGCACGAGCTTTTCAGGCACACACTGGTACTCAGATACAGATACCACTTGACTCGACAGAAACAAATTTGTATCTTATCGGCGGACTGGCCCTAAAAGGTTGCCCCGCCCCCCTCCGCCCCTCTCTTGGCCGCCTTCTTGAGCAGCGTTTCTCGAACTGCTTTCGTTTTGATGACTACGAATGACGCTTTTACCCATTTTGGGCTCTTCTCCAACTATATGGATTTGAAAGTTTTCGCGTATACAAAAAAACGTAGGCACTACGTCATATTCATGCGATTTGCTCCAGTGACTTTTCGGTCACGACCGGGCACCAAGGGTCAACGAGTTCGCACAGAATGGCTCAGCAATGCCGTAATTAATAATTACGCATCTTGGCGTATATGTATATCATATATCAAGTGTTCGGCACGCTAGGAGGTTTCGTTGTAATATGAAAATCAGCCAGACTCAAGTAGTAAAAATGTAAATTTCTTACACAGCGCGAGGCACGAATAAAAACCGATTAAACTAAGCTTGAGCAAATATTCCAATAGCGATGGGGTACATGTTTGCTGATAATATTTACATAACTGTGCATGAGTATTAAGCTTCCTAAAATTTCATCTATTGGCTTTTTGAGGCTATTACTGAATTTCTCCAAAAACCTGATTGATTACTTTTACCGGTCAATAAATCATTTATGGTGCGATGTGTTTACTTAATTGGTTTTGCAGTTGGAAATAGCCATGAGAAATGTTTTGGTAATTGCTTACTTGAGCTCTAACAATGGGAGTCACAGAGTGACATCGTATAAGATACTTATACTTTATTGTAAGTCGTAAACTGTTTATACAAAGCTGCGGTACCATTAAACAGGTGTTTTATTCCGGGCGCAATTCACCCCTTGTAGCGGAGTGGACTATAAAACAAAATTAGCACTCCAACTTGTTAATGAAAGCTGTGCCCATCTAGTGCGAATTACTCCATTATACAATATTTCTGTTTGTCCAGTTGCTGCCCCAAACAAACAGCCATTAAATGCTGCTTTTATTGATTCTCTTTGATGCACTAAAAAACCAAACAAAACAAAAATATTTACGGCCAGTAAAAATATTTAACGTCTAAACCGAAAGATAATCACACACTTTAATTATGATAATCAGGGCGACAGCAATTCACGCTAATAATGGTAATTTCATTCATTTTGCCAGCTTTGCATGGCATTTGATTCACTTTTTTCTGCAGTTTAATTTAATTTTGTGTGTGGCACTTTATTCATGTGCCGAACAAAGCCTTATTTCAATCATAATACTCATAATAACATAATCAACGCACATTAAATTACCCGACAACGGCAATCGGCCGGATCAAGATAACGCCGCGTATACTTGATACGCGGTGCGAGTGCCAGCGATTGCAGCTCGGGGTGTTCAACTTTCCGTATTTCACCGGGAAGACCGTAGACGACACACCGCACTTTCGACGACTTAATGGCCCCGGCGTAGTCGCGTTGAATTTTGGATTAGCCGTCGATCCATGCAAGAAAATGCCCCGAAAACGTGCCAACACGCGCGCTGTCAAATGTCAACTGATCCAATCCACGTTCGCGAATATCGTTTACACTTGCGACTGCTGCGGCACACCACAAACCCGATCCGCTCTCGCTCTCAGTGGGCTTACCTATATAGATATATCACTCCGCTCTCCCCATATCTGGCCCGACCACTCGCCCGGAGAGCCAGTACTATTAGTGGGGACTGTGGTGGATGGATGGCGGGCAAGAAGTACTACGGCTTGGGGCAAGCGGGTTGGGCTTGTTTTCCGTCCCAAAAATGCTGGGATATTAATTCAGATTATATGATCAGCACCAAGAAGAAGCTACAATTTTCGTATATTAAGTATGCCTGCTTGATGAGCTAAATGGCCAGATTCAAGTCAAGCCCAATTGAAATGCTGGAGGAATATTAATTTAATTATCAAGTGACACCCGCCATACACAATCGACCTGTATTTGTTTATTTATATTTATTTATTTATTAGTTTACAATAAGCGATTACAATTATTTTCGTTTCTCGTTTTTCCTTTTTAAATACATTTCTTTATAAGTACAATTTAACTATTGTTTTCTTTTTACAATAAGATCGGTTCTTATTCTTTATTATTTTCTCTTTTATATTTGCTGCCAGTGCAAAAAGTTTTGTCTATGTTCATTGTAACTCTAGTTAGGGTCAGATTTTTAAGCGGCTCTTGTAAAGAAAAATAAAAGTGTTTGGTAATTGTGAACGAGGCGGTTGCTGAATTTGTGCACTTCTTTAAGTATTCTATGGTTATGGAATTAAGAAAATAATTTTATGCCTGGCATTGGTTAAGGTTAGGCTGTGATTTAGTTCGGATTTGAGAGTCAACGTGTAGAAACCTATACACAATAATGCGCTACTAAAAATACCATAGAGTTTGCCTGTGTATTATTTACAAATTCTGTCTCTTTGTGTACGTGTCTGAGTGCGAGTTTATTTTGTATGGTATTTTACTATAAAGAAAATTCTGTTTCTTCTTAAAGTAGTGACTATACATTTTGTTTACGTTTAATAATATTAATTTAAAACTTCATTTTTAATAATTTATTTATCCAGGCCCGATCCCGCAAACCCCTTCGGCTATCATCGCATCAGGAAAAGACAGGCTCTGTAAAACAGGCGCCGGAAACGGAAATTCGCTGCATAGTTTCCGGCGCGTTGACAGTGGCAAGCTGTTCCCCATGGAGAAGGAAAGGGGGTGGGGTTGGGCGCTGGTTCGTTGCCTTTTTAAGTACTCTCTATACTTTTGTCTCTACATATTAGTAAGTTAGTGGAAGTATCTCTTTTGCATTAAAAACAATCACAACAATTTAATATTAATTGACTATAAAACTACAAAAATAATGGTTAATCATAGTAGAGTGTAGTACGAGTAAGTGGTCGAGGGACAGTGGTCAAAATCAAATCCTCCATTAGTCGTTGTTGCGATTAAAATTAAAACAAACCTAGTATTTCCTATGCAATAGATAAGTATCTTTTGTGCGCTGATGACGCCTCAGTGGCAGTTAAAGTTCTGTTCCCTCTTCTTCTGATTGAGTTGGTGCCTGGATCTGACTGGGACTGTTCCCACGTGCTATAAGCTGTTTAGAGTATCTATGTTCTTCGGTGTGTGTGTGTGTGTTTTAACTCCTGAGCTTGGGTACAATCCAACTGAGACAATCGTTGGCATATTGTCCAGTGGTTATAGATGATGCACGCGGACTAAAGTCCCATCGATGGGGCCCAACGATCTCTTACATACTGCTAGAGAGTATTCTGGGGTGCATTGTTCGGTCTTGTTGGAAATTAAAGGCAGTTTTCAATTTTAACGGGCGAGTTGAGTTCTAAATTACAGGAAGTAGTTGCAGTTGCGTGTGCGTGTGTCTGTGCTATAATACAAAGTGTCGTTGCTACTACCCACACCCTAAATATTTATAGGAAGTCTTTAGTTTAATATATAACAGTATTAATATTGATACGCGACTAATGAAGAAGTTGTCGTTAAAGGACGAGAATTCGTTTGTAGCTGCACTCTCTATGTGTGAATTCCCTCACATCTGTTTGGCAGTTTGTGGACCCTATGTGGCAGCTAAACGTACAAACACTACGCGGAATTCTCATGTTAGTAGGAAGGAGAATACTAAACGTTAATACAATTAATAAAATTATTTTCTTACAATGCTACTAAATTACTTTCATGCATTGTTCATGCGATTCTCGCTTCATTTTTAGCTTTTTACAATAATTCAATAATTCAATCTTTCATAGTTTCGTTTTACGGCCGACATTGTCGAATATACTTTCAGCTCACAAATGTACTTTTGTTTTTCTTTTCTTTTCTTCAATCTTGTTTATCTTTCGCGATCTTATGTTTTGCATTTTTGCGGAACTTTTTGCACTTGCCTTTCAAATATTCACATAATTTTCATATTCATTCGTTTTTCTTATAGACTAAAGATATAGCTAGGGATGTTTGTTATGTCAGTGTATCGTTACGTTACGTTTAGGAGATGTAATCCGGCGTTGGCTCGGGGACAGCGTCGGGATTGGCGAACAGCGGGTTGGGGAACTCTGGCGGATGTGGCAGGGGCGCAATGGTCTTGGGCCTCCTCCTATAGGCCATCAGCCAGCAGGAAACAGCCACGGCCACTGCTACAAGAGCCAGCAGAGCCGTGATGACCAGGGCAATGATCAGACCCACCATCGACACGCAAATATCCTCGACTCTCTGAGCCGCCGGTTTGACTGTGGATATTACAGAATTCAAAATTAGTTGGGCTTTTGGGTATTCATTTTTCATCAGGGAATACTCACTGTTGGCATCATTCAGACCTTGACCGCTACGCTTCTCGAATGTCAGAATGGCATTCGAAGAAATGGTGATTTCCTCGCGCAGTTGACCCTCCACACCCGAATTCGTGGCAATGGCGGTCGTATCGGTGGAGTTGTCCGCAATGGCGCGGCGACGTCGCCCGAAGGCGTTGTAGCCACCACAGTTGACAGGCTGGCAGCGTCCAAAGCAGACTCGTATGTTGCACTGGAAGCGGATGTTGTCGCTCGATGGGAATTTAAAGGCATTGAAACTGGCCAACAGGCTGTTTGTATCCGGATTGTACTCCCAGTTTCCGAAAATACTGGTATCCGTGGCACAGCCATTTTCATCCGTGACCAGATATTCGTTCTGCACATTGTCCTCCATCGTTTTGGCAATGCAAGAGCGGGCAAATCCTCCATAAATGGCTGTTGATGAATTAAAGAGATTAGCATATATTGTAATACATTGATAAAAGTTAAGATTCTTACTGGCTGGCTCAACATCCACTTGCAGTTTGAGATTGTCGCCGATCTCGGCCGAATTGATCTCCTCGCCCTCGTTGGTAATGATGCGCATCTGGCAGATGGGCGGTGGTCCTGTGTTGGCAATTGTTCCGGCCGTCGTCAGCATGGATACGTTAAATCCTAAGGTTACATTCTTCTCGCCAGTCTGGTACACACACTTGATGTTGTACGCCTGGGCCTTGTAGGTAACCAGTTTGGGATGCTTCTGGATGACCAGTACGAAGCTGGCCACATCCTTCACCGCCTGCATGCCGCAGCTGCCGAAGTGGACGCGGAAGATCTCGGTACGGGGAACAGTCTCCCCAGCCAGGTTGACCACCCGCCGGCACTCCTCGTCCTTGCTGTGGCCCTTCACGTACAGAACTCCATTGAATCCTGGTTCCGTGATGTGGATCTCTACTTGGACGCCATCAGCAAGACAACTGACCACCATATCGGGTCGTGGGAAATCGGTGCGGAAGTTGGTGTGGTTGCAATGCAGCTCCGGGTTGCCCGTGTAGCCAGTAATGCACTGGCACTGGGCTCGGTGATTCACCGCGTTACAGAAGGCATTCACTCCACACACCTTGGTCAGGCAGGGATCCTCGCAGGTCTTGGTGTCCAGGTTGCAGAATCGGTTATCGGCGCACTGATCGTTGCTCGTGCACTCTGGCGGCTCCTCCGGTTGGCATTCGCCACGGGGAGTAAGGCGGTAGCCCAGCTCAATGGGACAAGTGCAGCGACCGCGCTCGTCGATCACCATTCCACGCTCCAAGGCGCACACACAGTGACCGCTCTCGTCGATGCGGAAGCCCTGCTCCTCTCGGCATGGGGTGCAGTATTCGTAGATGTCCAAAGCGGTTCCAGGTGGACAGACACATTGTCCGTCCACATCCCGCACGAAGCCCTTCTCGATGACGCACAGCGATCGCTTGTCGCACTGCACGGCTGGGTTGCCGGTGTACCCCTCAAGGCACTCGCAGATCATGGTCCTCACGGGCAAAGTGTCTCGGACGCTGCAGAAGGCATTGACTCCGCACGGCTGGGTGGCATTGCAGGGATTTACACATTCGCCCCGCAAGCAGGCCCGCTGACTGGGACAATCCGCATCGCTGATGCAAATGGGCACCTGGCGCTCCGACTCACAGCCGTTTCTTCCGGGCACGGTTCCTGGTGGGCAGGCACACTGTGGTCGGTGCTGGTACACCTTGCACAGCTCGTCCTGGGCACAAATCGCAGTCGTTGTGCAAGGATTGTTGCACTTTCCGTTGACGCACGCCTTGTCCGTGGGACATTCGTCGTCAGAGCGGCATCCCAATGGAGTACAAGCAATCCTGGCATTTCCGCCATGTCCTGGGATGCATTCGCATACCGCACGATGCTCAATGGCTAAGCACTGTGCATTCGATCCGCACTGTTCACCCTGGCAGGCAGGGATGCAAAGCTGATTACGGCACAGATGGGTTCCCGGGCAGTCGGAGTTAATGCTGCACTCGATCTTGGTGCACTCGAACTCTGCATTTCCTTCGAAACCTTGGCGACATGTGCACACAGGCTTGTGATCCTTAATTCGGCACTCGGCATTCAAACCGCAGTTGCACGGATTTCGGCAGACACTATTCAGGCAGGACTTATCCGCTGGACAGTCTGAGTCCGAGATGCATCCTCCAACGTCCTTGACTCCCTGAGAAGGTTTGCAGCCTCCCTTTCCTTGGCTGACGTAGCCATCCGGACAGATGCAGAGCATCGTGCGCACCGGGGATGTGGGAGTCACCTCGCAGAGGGCAGGTCGTTGGCATGGTTCCAGCACCAGGCAGGGATCCACACATTGTTCGTTTATGCAGGCCTGGCGGCCAGGACAATCGGTATCCAACTGGCAGATGGGTTGCGGCGGCGGTCGGCAGTCCACATATGGATTTCCGAGGAAATCGGCTGGACAACGGCAAACGGCAAGATGATTCTGCGCCCTGCACTCGGCACGAGGGGCACAAGGATTGTGGTATACGCAGGGATTCACGCACTGCTCGTTCTGGCAGGTCTTGTCCGTGGGACAGTCGTTGTTGCTGCTGCATCCGATGACGCGACAACGTTCATAGGCATTGCCTCGATAGCCACTCAGGCAGCGGCACTGCGCCCGGTTCGATTGCACATAGCACTCGGCATTGGGTCCACAGGGATCGTTAATCAGGCACGGGTTGATGCAGTCGCCATTGACGCAGGCCTTGCCCGAATCGCACTCTCCATCCACGCGGCATCCGATGGAGCGGCATGAGGCATAGGGATTGCCCTCGAATCCATCCTGGCAGCTGCACACGGCGCGATGTTGGGTCACCTGGCAGACGGCGTTGGTTCCGCAGTTGCACGGGTTGCGGCACTGGGCGTGGATGCAGGCCTCCTGGTCGGGACAGTCCTGGTCGCTCTCGCAGCCTGGTTGTCTAGGGGGCACCAGCTTGCGGCACGCTCCACTGGCATCGGGCACCTCGTATTCCGCACACTCACAGACCATGGTTCTCACCGGAACGCTATCTAGGGCACTGCACTGGGCAGTTGGGTGGCAGGGCGAGAGCACAGTACATGGGTTCTGGCACTTGTCGTCGATGCAGGCCAGCCCACTGGGGCAATCTCCATCATCTCGGCACACTGGCTCCACAGGTCTGGGTTCACAGTAGCCGTACGGGTTACCCAAGGGCAGTTGGTCCGGACAACGGCAAACAGCGCGATGCTGAAGCGCCTGGCAGATGGCATTCTGGGCACAGGGATTCCTCTGACCACATGGGCTCACACATTCGTTGGAGACGCATGCCAGGTTCGAGGCGCAGTCATAGTCAGAGTGGCATTCCAATCGCAGGCAACGCACAAACGGATCACCCTCCAATCCCACGGGACAGCGGCAATTGGCACGATGGTTGCGTCCGAAGCACTCGGCATTCAGGGCACATGGATCACTTGCCAGGCAGGGATTGATGCACTCACGGTTCAGGCACTGCTTGTCTCCGCTGCACTCGTCATCCGACTGGCAGCCAATCGGCGAGCATCCAAACTGGGCGTTTCCAGAGAATCCAGGCTTGCAGTAACAGATTGGATGGTGGTTCTTCACTGTGCACTCGGCATTAGGTCCGCAGTTGCAAGGACTCGCGCACTGGGTGTTGATGCAGGCCTCGGTCGCGGGGCAGTCGGTGCTGGACTTGCAGCCCACGGTTATCACATCGGAAGCTGCGAAAATAAAAAACAGATAAGTATTGCAATATTTTAAAGGTTAAGTAAATATATTCCAAATTGAATTCTTAATTACAAAAGATTTTTAAATTTACATTAATGTTAAGCAGTAACAATGATTTTCAAGCTTAAACCAATAAAAAATATATTTTAAATCACTCATGAAAGGCAAATAAAGGTATTTTACAAAACTTATATTTGATTAACATAATTTATACACTTACGTGGCAGGCAGCGTTCTTGTGGGTTGCCGGAATAGCCAGGTGGACAGCGGCAGATAGCCTTGCGCTGCTGCACATGACAGTATGCGCCGATTCCACAGGCATCCGAGGCACAGGGACTCTCGCAGATCTCGTTGCGACAGATCTGATCTCTAGGACAATCGTCGTTGCGGGAGCAGCCCGGATTGGGAATCCTTGGCCTATCCACTTCCGTCGTGTAGCATTCGATGCGAGCGTTACCTTGGTAGCCCTTGGGGCAATTGCACTGGGCATAGTGATCCCTAGCTGTACACTGGGCATTTACGCCACATCTCTCCAGTCGACAGGCATCCAGGCAATTTCCATTCGAGCAGACCTCGGGATTGGCACACTCTGAGTTGTGCTGACAGCCGGTGACGACCTTGGGAACATTGATGGGCACGCAGTTGCGGGAGATGTCCGTCACCGTATCCCCGGGACACTTGCAGGCCATGGCACGCTTTGGCAAGGTGTCCAAAACCGTGCAAGTCTGTTGCGAAGTGCAAACATGGGGAGTGGCACAAGGATCTGCACAACGTTCATTGATGCAGGCCAATTTGGATGGACAATCGGCATCCTGGGTGCATTGAGGCTTGGGAGTCTTCACTGGTATATCGCACTGCACGTGCGGATTGCCCTGGTATCCGGGTCGGCACTCGCACTGCGGCTGATGGCGACGACCCACACAGATGGCATTGAGAGCACAGGTCTCCTGATCGCAAACAGGTCGGCATACGCGATTTAATCGATCGCAGGCCTCGTGATCCGCACAATCCTCATTGTACTGACAATGTCCGGTGATGCAGGAGATGAAGGGATTGCCCTGTGTTCCCGTGGGACAGATGCACACAGCCTGGTGGTTCTGGGCCAGGCACTGAGCTCCACTGCCGCAGCGCACTTGTCCGTGGGTGCAGGGATCAACACAGTTCTCATTCAAGCAGGTCTTGTCATACGGGCAGTCAGCATTGATCTTGCACTCGGCTGGAGGATCGAAGATTATATTGTAATATGCCATTACAGGTGGCTTGCAAGTACTTACGTTTGTAGCATTGAACTTGTGGATCACCACCCCAACCAGCTGGACAGTAGCAAATCGGACGGGAGTTCTGCACGCGACACTCAGCATTTCCGGCACAAGGATTGGCCTCGGCACAAGGATTCTGGCAGCGTTTATTGATGCAGGCCGTGTTGGGCTCACACTCCGAATCGTGCGTGCAGCCAGTCTTGATTTCAGCTAAAATCATAATTAATTGTTAGTCGATGTTATCCCATTATATTAAATAATAATAAAGATCTATCTTACGTGGCTCGTAGCAGTTGGTGAATGGATCTCCCTGAGTTCTTTCAGGGCAGCTGCAAATGGCACGATGTTGTTGAGCCAAACACTGGGCAGTACGGGCACAAGGCGAGGAATCCAGGCACGGATTAACACAGTTTCCGCCACGACAGGCTTCCGTATCCTGGCACTGATCATGCGACGTACAGCCTTGATCACGCGGGGGTTCTGAGCAATAAAATTGTATATTAGCATTGTATTTTTAATAAGAATATGGTTGCTAAGTGTTTGTGTGCAACAGTTAAGAGTTATAGAGTGCAGTCAAAATATATATATAGGTGCCACTGCTGAGAAGGTGCATCACTATATATGGATTTGTAATTGAAAATATATATTTGTATAAGCACTTTATACATAAACTGATGCTGCAATGAAAAAAGCAAACTCAAAAATAAAGCGTATTTAAATAAGCTGGTTTGATTTATTTGATCCGGATGTGTCTTACCTTTGTGACATCCAATGTCGGCCTCACCCACATAACCACGAATACAGCTGCACATCATGGTCCGCAGGGGCAGGGTGTCCACCACTTCGCAGATGGCATTGGCGCCACATGGATGCGTGACATCGCACGGGTTCTTGCACTCGCCGCCGAAGCAGGCCAGTTTGCTAGGACACTCGGCATCCATGGTGCAGCCCTCTGGTTGTGTTGGCACTAGGTCACATCTTACGGCCGGATTTCCACTGAAACCGGCTGGACAGCGGCATTGAGCACGATGGTTTTCTACGCGGCACTGGGCTCCAAGGCCGCAGTTGCACGGATCCTCGCATCGTTCATTTCGGCAGGCCAGGTGGAAGGCGCATTCGTCGTCCGAGCTACACTCTGGACGTTCGCAACGCACCAGAGGATTACCGCGGTATCCGTCCAGACAATGGCACCTGGCACGGTGATTGAAGTCAGCTCGACAGATGGCTCCCGTTCCACACTGCGTGAATCCGCAAGGATCCACACACTGCTGGTTAACGCAGGCCTCATTGGCGGCACATTCTCCGTCAGATCGGCAGCCTAGAAGGTAGCAGTTCTGCAAGGCGTTCCCGGTGTATCCCTCATTGCAGACACACAGTGGCCGGTGGAGCTGGACATGGCAGCGCGCCTGTTGGGCGCATAGGTTCGATTGCTCGCAAGGATTGCGGCAAACCTGGTTGATGCAGGCCTTGTCATTGGTGCATTCTCCATCGCTGATGCACTCTGGCTTGGGCGGTTCCTCCTGTATTTGCTTCAGACACTGGGCGTACGGGGAACCGTAGAACTCCGGCGGACAGCTGCACACAGCCTTGTGGTTGATGGCCCGACAGATCGCGTTGATGCCGCAGGCATTCAGACACGGGTCGCGGCACTTCTGGCTGACACAGGCTCTGTCCCGGGAACAGTCCTCGTTGATCACGCACTCCGGATAACTGCAGGTGGCGGCTCCGTTGTAAACGCGGCAGATTCCATTGCTGCGGCATGGAGACGGCTGGCACGGATCGACAACCTCAATCTGGCGTGGTTCCTCGCACTGGACGAACGGATTGCCAACCATATTGGCCGGACAACTGCACACCGGGCTGTGGTTGATCGTTTGGCAAACAGCTCCGAATCCACACTCTCCCACGCAGGCATCCACGCACTTGGAGTTGATGCAGGCTCGATCCTTGGCGCAATCCGAGCTGAGTGTGCACTCCGGGCGACAGCCCTGTGTCTGCGGATTACCAAAGAATCCGGGCAAGCACTCGCACACCGCCTTCTCGTTCTGAACTCGGCAAAGGGAATTGGGTCCACAGGGCGATGGATAGCAAGGTTCCGAGGGAGGAGGTGGAGTCAGCTGACGGGTACACTGGGCAAACGCGTTGCCAGTGTATCCCGGCGGACAGGAGCAGATCGGTATATGGTTGTTCATGGTGCAAATGGCCTCCAGACCACAGACTCCCGGACAAGGATCCTGGCACTTGCTGCGGATGCAGGCTTGATTCGCCGGACACTCGGAATTACCCACGCATTCGGGGCGACATCCCTCGTAGGGATTGCCGATGTACTCCAGTTGGCTGCACTCGCAAACGAAGTTCTCGCCTTGGACGCGACACACGGCATTTGTGCCGCATGGCGACGGGTAGCAAGGATTCTTAGGAGTCGGTATGGGCTTGGGTTCATCTGAAATTTAAGTGTTTATATGTTAGGATATAATATGTAAAGGAGAATTCTTAATAGAGGCCCTGCCTATTTACAATATGCAAACTTGTTTGGGGGTGTTTAAATATAAACAGGGAAAACCAGTAAAAGGAGAAGGGGAACTCAGGTAATTATGACCATTTGGGACAATTTCCAACCTCAAGAAGTTAACAAACCCGAAGTTACAGGGGTAAAATAATAATGAAACACAAGTGAGATTCCTAATTATAGCGAAATCATTAAAGAACGCTACCTTTTTGGAGGATTTAGTATTAATATAAGCTTAACTTTTATTCAGGAGATCTTACCACGTGGAATGGGTCGGCAAAGTCGGAACGGATCACCAGTCATGCCTACGGGGCACTGACAGTTGGGTGTGTGAAGGCTGACCGTACACTGGGCACTTTGGCCACAGCTTCCGGGACAGGGATCGCGACACTTTTGATTCATGCAGGCCAGGGTATTGGCACATTCATCGTGGCTATCACACTCAGGTCGACAGTTCGGTGGTGTTCCCTGGAACTCCGGCAGACAGCGGCACTCCGCTTGGTCGTTCACATTTCTGCACTGGGAGTTGGGACCACACGGCGAAGGCTGACAAGGATCGCGAACTATTTCGGGTAACCTGGGAATGGGATTGCACAGAACATAGGCATTTCCAGTGTGTCTCGGGATGCACTCGCAATGTGCCCTATGCTGAATCGCTTGGCACACGGCATTCAGGCCACATTTGCCCGGACACGGGTCCACGCACTTGTTGTTGATGCAGGTGTGCACTTGGGCGCAATCGGAGCTGGAGTAGCACTCCAGTCGGCAATTTGGCGGCTGACCGAAGTATCCGGCCAGGCAGGAGCAGATGGCATTGCCATTCCTCTCCTGGCACTGGGCATTGGAGCCGCACGGCGAGGGCTGGCAGGGATTGGGCGTCGGTGGTGGAGGATCATCGCGGATTGGCAAGCATGAGACAAACGCATTGCCAGTCATCCGCTCGGGACAGTGACACATGGCGATGTGGTTAACAGCATCGCAGAGGGCATTGGCTGCACAGTGTCCTGGACAAGGATCGACGCACTTCTGGTTCACACACGCTCTATTCCTGGGACAATCCGAGTTCAAAACGCACTCGGGACGGCATCCGGTGTAGGGATCACCCTGATACTCCGGCAGGCAAGAGCACTGACCATTGTTACACAGAGCATTAGCTCCGCAAGGTGATGGCTGACAGGGATCGGGGATAGCTGCAAGAGAAATAGGGCCTAACTTAGGGGAATTTTCTTGGGATTTAAGAAAATGGTCGGGCATACTTTTAGGGGGCGGTGGTGGTGGCAGAAGTCGACAGCTGGTGAACGGATCTCCGGTAAAACCAGCGGGACACGCGCAACTGGGAGTATGATTGATGACATTACACTGGGCGGCAAAGCCACAGGCTCCCGGACAAGGATCGCGGCACTTCTCGTTGATGCAGGCCAGATTGCTGGGACACTCCGCATTGATGGTGCACTCCGGTCGGCAGTAGGGCGCCGCTCCCACATAATTGGGAAGACAGCTGCAACTAGCTCCGCCATTAGCCACCCGACATTGAGAGTACGGTCCACAGGGTGATGGCACACAAGGATCGCTGATGTCATTAGACTTCGGTGGTTTCGGAGGCGGAACGGGCAGACAGCGGGTCAGAGCATCTCCGGTGAATCCGGGCTGACACGAGCACAACGGACTGTGGTTGCGCACATGGCACTGGGCATTCAAGCCGCAAGCTCCGGGACAAGGATCCTGGCACTTTTGGTTGATGCACGCCCTGTCCGCCGGACACTCGGCACTGATCACACACTCCGGACGACAAGATGGCGGTGTGCCCACAAACTCTGGCAGGCAGGAGCAGATGGCCTGTCCCTGGGACTCGCGACACTGGGAATTGGCGCCGCAGGGCGACGGCTGACAGGGATTCACATACTCCGGTGCGGGGGCTAAAGGAAGTCAGAGGTGGAAATTTTAAAATTTGCACAATAGCGGGCCAAAAGCGAAGCATTGATTTAAAGCGAACCAAAAGCGTTGTTAATTATTTCTAGTGCTAGCATATTGTCACTGAGCATAGTCGATGGAGCAATCCAAGGAACACTCGATGGGTTTGAGATTATTCAAATGAGGTAGCTGAAAGATAATCGGCTTATTGCAAAGACATGAGAACTGCGTTGTTGTCTATGGTATCTCGGGGTTGAGATCATTATGTCAAAATATCACAGAATATTATCGGCGAGGAAAGAGTAAACGTTGAGAATCTTCAAAAAAAAATCGATGAGAGACTTAATGCCTATAAGGTTTCGATTATTTAAGGCTTAGAAATAAGTTATATCATCTTCAATATCACAGAACAGGTAAACATGAATTTTTTGGTCAATAATTAAGCATGGGATTTAAGGATGGGATTAAGATATGGGCAGATAACATTAGGGCATTCTTAAAGAGAGAAGACGCAAGGCAAACCAAGGCGAAAAATTGAGTACAGCGTTGTTGTTTAGGGCATTTAAAATAAGTCGGCCTTAAATATATCAGAGAATATTATCGATGGTTTTAGGGGTTCAACGATGTAAGGCAGAGGAGTAAAAACATTAAGTACAGCATTGTTGTTTAGAGAAAAAATCGCATTAGAGTCGGTTTTAAATAGCACGAAATAAGGCATAGTCTAGGAGATCTTTTCTTACGTTCATGCTGCGGAATTCGACAGCTATGGTAGGGATTTCCCACATAACCCGGGTGGCATTCGCAAACGGGGTTATGGTTAATGACCTGACAGAGGGCATTGATTCCACAAACCCCGGGACAGGGATCGCGACACTTTTCGCTCATGCAAGCCCTGTGGCTTGGACAGTCCGAGTTGACGGTGCATTCGGGTCGGCAGATCTCAGACGGATTGCCATAGTAACCTGGCAGACACTGGCAAACGCTCAAGTCGTTCTGGGGCTGACAAAGAGCGTTGACTCCACAGGGATTGGGACTGCAAGGCAGGATCACCACGGCAGGTGGACTCGGCTCGAGTCGTGTGCAAAAGCTGTAGGCATTGCCTACATAGCCTTCGGGGCAGTAGCACAGTGGACTGTGGGCCACCACTCGACAAAGAGCAGATTGTCCACAGCTGCCGGGGCAGGGATCAATGCACTTGTAATTTCTGCATGCTTTGTCCGCCGGACAATCGGCGCTGTTTACACACTCCGGCCGACAGAATGGTGGAGTGCCATGGTACTGGGGCCGGCAGGAGCAGCGAGCTCCACCAGACTCCACTTGACACTCGGAGTTCGGGCCGCAAGGTGAGGGTTGGCAGGGATTCACTTCATCGCGTTCTACAGGGGGAATAACTAAAATATTGTTATTAGCAACGTGTTCGGATTCTGGGGCGTTTTCTGGTATACCTATTGGTTGGCAAGCCAGCAACGGATTACCCGTCAGATGGGGTGGGCAAACGCACAAGGGACTATGGTTCTGCACATGGCAAATGGAACGAATGCCACAAGCTCCCGGACACGGATCACGACACCTAAGATTAAGACAGTATTTGTCGAGGGGGCAGTCTGAGTTCGAAGTACACTCCGGACGACAAGCTGGTGGAGTTCCAATAAAATCGGGCAAGCAGTAGCAAATCGCCTGCTCATGATAAGATCGGCACTGGGCATTAGGTCCACAAGGCGATGGCTGGCAGGGATTTATCGGAGTGCGTTGCGGAACGAGAGCAGGCAAAGTCGTAGGTGGTGCTGGGACAGCGGGTTTGGGCTTGGGTATCGGGTCACATCTCACAAAGGCATCGCCCTGCATTCGCTCAGGACATGTACAGGTGGCTACGTGATTGTACACATGGCATAAGGCATTTATTCCACAAGTGCCTGGACAAGGATCCTGGCACTTCTGACGGATGCAAGCCTTATCCCTGGCACAGTCCGTATTCAGAACACACTCCGGTCGACAGCCAACATAGGGATCTCCATGATACTCCGGTATGCAACTGCACTTTCCATTATTGCACACAGCGTTAGGTCCGCATATCGATGGATAACATGGATCCTTCACCTCAACGGGCTCACGTTGAATAGGGACTATCGGTGTGGGTTGACATGAAACAAATGGATTTCCGGTGTAGCCAGTTTGGCAGAAGCAGTTCGGCACATGATCGTGGACACGGCACACTGCGTTGTAAGCACAAGACCCTGGGCAAGGATCGCGACACTTTTCGTTGATACAGGCCAAAGCTGATGGGCAATCCGAGTTTATAACGCACTCAGGCCTGCAATTGGGTGGAGTTCCTCTGTAGTTTGGCAGGCAAACGCAAGCAGCCACTCCAAATCTATTGTGACAATGCGAGTAGGGCCCACAAGGCGATGGATAGCACGGATTAAACTCGAAAACGGGCTTTGCCACATAGTTGGGACGAGCTGGAGTTGGCTGCGGTACGGATGGAACGTTAACCACGCCAGGAATGGGTTGTGGTCTCTGAGTATCATAATGGACCTCTTGTATAGGACTTTGCGGATTTGAGGGTATAGGTTGCGGTACCGAGGGGATGTTGACAATTCCAGGTCTTTGTGTTGGTACCGGCTGAGATGGTTGTGAGGGTACATTGATGACTCCAGGAGTTGATGAAGGCACAGGCTGGGGCAACGAAGGAATGTTAATAATTCCCGGTATCGGTGATTGGGTTGGATAAGTCGGTTGTGGCACGGATGGTATGTTGACCACTCCTGGAGTAGGTTGTGGTCTTGAGGTCTCATATTGGACATTCTGAATCGGATGTTGAGATATTGGAGTTGTGGGTTGTGGTACCGAGGGAATATTAATTATTCCAGGCTTTTGAACAGAGATTGGAGTAGTTGGATTTGACGGAATATTGATCACGCCAGGAGTTGGCGACGGCACCGGCTCAGGCAACGAGGGAATATTGATAATTCCAGGTGCTGGAGGAGTTGGCTGTGCCGTTGGATAGCTGACATCGTAAACAGGTGGATTTTGAGGTGGATACGTCGGTTGTGGAACTGAGGGAATGTTCACAATTCCGGGTGTTGGTACTGAGATCGGTGGGGATGGTTGAGAAGGAATGTTGATTACACCAGGAGCTGGCGATGGCACCGGCTGAGTCACCGAAGGAATATTAATAATTCCAGGTGCTGGAGGAGTTGGCTGTGGCGTTGGATAGCTAACATCGTGAATTAGCAGATTTTGGGGTGGATACGTCGGTTGTGGAACCGAGGGAATGTTAACAATTCCAGGAGTCGGTACTGTGATTGGTGGGGATGGTTGTGAAGGAATATTTATTACTCCAGGTGTCGGTAATGGCGCAGGTTGTGGCACTGATGGGATATTTATTATTCCTGGTGCCGGAGGAGTTGGCTGTGGAGTAGGATAGCTGACATCGTGAGTAGGTGGGTTTTGATGCGGGTAAGTCGGTTGTGGAACCGAGGGAATGTTTATGATTCCTGGAGTTGGCACAAAGATCGGAGGTGATGGATGCGACGGAATATTGATCACACCAGGACTGGCTGATGGCACAGGTTGAGGCACTGAAGGAATATTGATTATTCCTGGTGCTGGAGGAGTTGGTTGTGGATAAGTAACACCCTGGATAGGCGGATTATAATGTGGGTACGTCGGTTGCGGTACTGATGGAATGTTATGAATGCCTGGTCTTGGTGTAGGTATATTCAAAACTGGTGCTGGTACGTAGATTGGTTGTTGGGGCACCGGGTATACGGGCCGTGGAGGCGAAGGAATATTGATCACACCCGGTCTTGACGGAGGTGGTGGATAATACACATCGTATATAGCCGGTCGTTGCACAATCGGAGGTTGATATGTTGGATGCACTGGCTGTGCTACTGACGGTATATTTACAACTCCTGGTTGAGGAGCAGGTGTCGTGTTTACAGGTGACGGAATAAACACTGGACGTTGAGAAACCGGAGGCACAGGCTGCGGCACCGATGGAATATTAACGACTCCAGGTTGGTGCGGTATTACTGGTGGTGGCGTTGGATAGTTTACGTCGTAAACAGGGGCCGGTGGCGTAGGGTAAACAGGTTGCGGTACCGAAGGAATGTTGATAACTCCAGGTTGGGGTGGAGGCGACGGAGTCTCATGGGATGGTATAAATATAGGAGGTTGGGGAGACGGTGGTACCGGCTGTGGGTACGAAGGGATATTAAGAACCCCTGGTTGTTGAGGAACTGAAGGTGGCGTTGGATAGTTAACATCGTAAACAGGTGGATTTGTTGCAGGATATACTGGTTTGGGTGCTGAGGCAATATTAATCACTCCAGGCTTTTGAGGAATGGGAGACGGTGTCGTTGGATAATTCACATCATAAACCGGATGCTGTGGTGTTGGATACACCGGTTGCGGTTCTGAAGGAATATTAATTAGCCCTGGCTGAGGAGCTGGGGTTGGTCTCTCAGGTGATGGTATAAAGACGGGAGGTTGTTGTGATGGTGGAGTCGGCTGCGGCACAGAAGGAATATTGATTATTCCAGGTTGTACTGGTATCTGAGCTGGTGGTGGCGTTGGATAGTTGACCGGCGGATTCTGGGAAGGATATGATGGGTTTGGCACAGATGGAATATTGACAACGCCAGGTTGTTGTGATGGAGTCGGTGCAATTGGGTAGTTTACATCATAAACTGGGCTCTGTGGCGTTGGATATCCTGGTTGCGGCATTGAAGGAATGTTAATTACTCCAGGCTGAGGTGCAGATGATGGGTTCACGGGCGATGGTATAAAGACAGGTCTCTGAGATGTCGGAGGGATTGGTTGAGGTACCGATGGAATATTTACAACACCTGGCTGTTGGGGCGTTGTTGGGTAGTTGACGTCGTAAACAGGAGGCTGAGGCGATGGGTAGACTGGCTGTGACACGGAAGGTATATTTACAACTCCAGGCTTTTGGGGATTCTCTGGTTGTGGTGTTGGATAGTTCACATTGTAAACTGGTGGCTGAGGTGAGGGGTATTCTGGTTGAGTTGCAGAGGGAATATTTACAATTCCCGGTTGTTGTTGTTGTATGTACACCAGATCCGGTATAGCAACCGGATAGGGAGGAGAAGGTGTGTCGTATATTTGGGGTCGCACAGCTGTTTCGATTAGAATTTGAAAATGTTTTTTGTTAACCGATTCAATTATGGCATACGAAGGTTTAACTATGCTCTTACGTTTTGGGGTCTCGTAGCAACGTGTGAACGGATCGCCAGTATGCGAGGAGATGCAGTAACATATGGGACTGTGATAGTGGACGCGACATTCGGCATTAATACCGCAAATTCCAGGACAGGGATCAACACACTTGTGATGGACGCACGCCTTATCATAAGCACACTCTGAGTTAAGAGTGCACTCTGGTTTACAGTTAGGAGGGGTTCCATAGAATTCGGGTAAACAGGAGCATACGGCTTCATTATTTGACGGGTGACACTGGGCATTGGATCCACAAGGTGAGGGATCGCAGGGAGTCAAAGGTGCTAAAGGGGTTGGTGCAAACGGATAAAATGGATTATCTAAATTCAGTACGGACATTTGAATGCATGGATGCTTACATTGTTGGACTATAGGAACGGGCGTGCAGTACGCCAAGGGGTTTCCAGTGTAACCACCGAAACACCTGCACTGAGGCAGATGATCCAGAACATAGCACTCGGCATTCAAGCCACATGTGCCGGGACACGGATCGCGACATTTTTGCTGCACACACGCTCTATTAGAAGGACAATCGGAGTTCAAAATGCACTCTGGTCGACAGGCTTCGTAGGGATTTCCAAAATAGTCCGGCAAACAGACGCAAGAGACTACTCCTCTCCGCTGGTTGCATTGAGCATTTGCTCCACAGGGATTAGGTTCACAGCCGTTGATAAAAGGCTCCTCATACTGAAGCACCTGTATGGCTGTTGTCGGTGGTGCTGGTGAAGCCTCAATTCGTGTTGGAGGCAGGCAGGAGTTGAAGGGATTGCCCACCAGTCCAGGAGCACAAACACAGTTTGGCTGGTGGTTGTAGGTTCGACAGATGGCATTGTAACCGCACAGGCCCGGGCATGGATCTTGGCACTTCCGATTGATACAGGCTCTGTCGCTGGGACACTCACTGTTGGCAATGCACTCGGGTCGACAATAGGGTGGCACACCCAAATACTCCGGAAGACAGCGGCAAACCGCATTACCTGCCTCATTGCTGCACTGAGCATGAGGACCACAGGGAGTCGGCGAGCAAGGATCAATTGGTTCGCGCTGCACTGGTGTATAATATGTCCTGATCAACTGGCACTGGGAGTAAGGACTTCCAGTGTAACCAGCAGGGCAAACACACTGCGGTCCGTGGTTAATCACATGGCATTCGGCCATGTAACCACAAGCACCAGGGCAGGGATCGCGGCACTTCTGATTCACACAAGCCAGACTGGGTGGACACTCTGAGTCGCTGACACATTCGGGTCGACAGGCTGGAGGATTTCCATAATAGCCGGGCAGGCAAGTGCAAATTGCTTGCGTGCCAACTTCCCGACATTGTCCATGGGGTCCGCAAGGCGAAGGCTGGCAGGGATGCAGCTCTATGGGTGCCTGTAATGGTGTCGGCTGGCACAGCACAAACGGATTGCCCTGATAACCAGCCGGACACTGGCACATGGCCACATGATTATGCACCTGGCATGTGGCTCCTGATCCGCAAGTTCCCGGGCACGGATCTAGGCAACGATTGCGGATACAGGCCTTGTTCCACGGACACTCCGTACTCAACACGCACTCTGGGCGACATCCCACGTATGGATCACCCTGGTACAAGGGCAGGCAACTGCAAACACCGTTCGAACACTGGGCATTTGGACCGCAGGGCGAGGGCTGACAAGGATCATCCGCAATGATAGTAACAGGGGTTTGAGGAGGCGTTGGAGCTGGATAGCAGCGGTAGAAGGGATCTCCCACAAAACCGCTAAGACATGAACAGCTGGGCACATGATTGAGCACATCACATTGGGCGTTCAGACCGCAAGCCCCGGGGCAAGGATCCGCGCACCTTTGATTGACACAAGCTCTATGGCTGGGACAATCAGAGTTCTGGGTGCACTCGGGTCGGCAGTAAGGAGGAGTACCGTAGTAGGAGGTTTGGCAGGAGCACACGGCTTGGTCGTACTCCACTCGACACTGGGCAAACTGTCCACAGGGCGAGGGTACACAGGGGTCTCTGTGGATCACGGGTGAATCCCTAATAGGTTGGGGCGGAGGCAAGGGCACGCAGCGCATAAAGGCATCTCCTGTGTAACCAGGATGACATGAGCAATGAGCCCTATGTTGATGCGCTCGACATATGGCATTCTGGCCACAAGCACCCACACAAGGGTCAGCACATCTTCTGGCCACGCAAGCTCTATCATTGGGACATTCGGGATTAGTGGTGCACTCAGGTCGACAACCTGGTGGGGAACCAAAGTAATCGGGTAGGCAGCGACACACCGCCTGACCCTGGGACTCGGTGCACTGAGAGTTGGGACCACACGGTGAGGGTTGGCAGGGATTAAAGTGAACAACTTCGACGGCTGGAGAGGGACATAAAAGTGCAGATTGGGGGTAATGGTAAATTTGAGTGTTAGTGCAAGGGTTAAACGATTGACTGGGTGGAGACTGCTTACGTTCCGCCTGGACCACTTGGCAGTGGCGATAGGGGTCACCACTATATCCGGGATAGCAACTACAGCTGGGCACGTGATTAACGACTTGACATTGGGCATTGGGGGCACAGCTTCCTGGACAGGGATCACGGCAATGTTGATTAAGGCAAGCCAAATGGCTCGAACAGTCTGAATTAAGCACACATTCGGGTCGACATCCCTCGTAGGGGTTGCCGTAATATTCCGGCAAGCATTGGCAGGAACCGGCTCCACCTCGCTCTCGGCACACGGCATTACTTCCGCAAGGGTTTTGGAAGCAGGGGTTGATCTGCTCGCGTTGAATCTGCGGCCGTGCATAGCATCCAGTGTAGGGGTCACCAATGTAGTCCGCAATACAGATGCACGAGGGTACGTGGCTGACAACTTGACAGCTGGCTGCGTTTCCACAAAGCCCAGGACAAGGATCCTTGCATTTCTGAGCAATGCAAGCCAGCTGATTCGGACACTCCGATGATGTTATGCACTCCGGTCGACAGTTGGGAGGTGTTCCTACGTAATCCTTCAAGCACTTGCAAATTGCCTTGTCATTTTGATTAGTACACTCTGCATTGGCTCCACATGGTGACGGTGAGCATGGGTTGAGCGGTTCTCTTTGGACTGGTGGTGGAGGCGGTACACGATGACAAAGGAAGAAGGCATTGCCTGAGTATCCTGTGGGACAACTGCAGTGCGGCACATGCCGAATGACTTGGCACTGAGCAAACTGGCCACATGCTCCAGGGCAAGGATCGCGGCACTGCTGATTCAAGCAGCCCAGATGTGGGGCACAGTCCGAGTTAACGGTGCACTCGGGGCGACACTTTGGTGGAACACCAAAGTAGCCGGGTAAGCAAGAGCAGATGGCCTGATTGTTGGCCACTCGGCATTGGGCATTGTTTCCACACGGGGATGGCTGACAGGGATTCAAAGGCTCCACGGGAGAAGCTAAACAGAACAAGGAATAGTTTAATGGGGTCTCTAAAGTTGGTTGATTTTTAGTTTGAAACCTACATTGCACAACAGTACACTGGACGAATGCGTTGCCCGAAGTTCCGGGCGGACAATTACATGTTGGTATGTGGTTGCGCACCTCGCAAACTGCTCCAACCCCACAAGCTCCTGGACAGGGATCCGTGCACTTACTGCGCTGGCAAGCCTTGTCTCTCGCACAGTCCGTGTTTAGGACGCACTCCGGACGACAACCCACATAGGGATTGCCATCGAAGTCGGGCAAGCAAGAACACTGACCTCCAGCGCTGCAAATGGCATTGGAGCCACAAGGCGAAGGATTACAGGCATCGCGAAGGGGCGGAGTTGGTGGAGGAGGAGTTCGTTGACAGCTTACGAAGGGATTGCCCTGATAACCTGAGGGACAGCTGCAAATGGGTGTGTGGTTGATGACGTTGCAATGGGCCTGGAGCCCACAAGAACCGGGGCACGGATCACGGCATTTTTCACTGATACAGGCCAAATGGGAGGGGCAGTCCGGATTAATCACACACTCTGGCTGGCAGTTGGGGGGAGCTCCAAAGTAACCAGGCAGGCATGAGCATATAGCCTGGTTGCCCTGAGCACGGCATTGGCCAAAGGTACCACAGGGAGAGGGCGCACAGGGATCGCGGTAGGTTTCCTTGGGGGCATCATAACTAATTGCTGGTGCTGTAAAGGGTTTAGGGTTATAGAGGCTCCCGTGGTTGGTAGTATAAGTCTGAGTCTTACGTATGCGCTGGCAACCACTTATGGCATCACCCGTGTAACCAGGCAGGCAGCTACAGTGCGGACTGTGGTTTATAACCCGACACTGGGCACTGCCGCCGCAAACACCTGGACAGGGATCGACACAGTGTTGTTGGACACACGCCAGGGTCAAATCACACTCGCTGGAGATAGTACATTCGGGCCTGCAGGCAGGTGGGGATCCAATAAAATCGGGCAGGCACTTGCAAATGGCCTGGTTATTCGACTCCCGACACTGAGAGTTCGGACCGCATGGTGAGGGTTGACAGGGGCGAGAGGGAATCGGTTCAGGCAGGGCTGTCGGGAAAGAGGCAGGGTAAGTTTTGGGGCTGCTAAGTCTTTCAAGAGGGATCGGCTTACGTTCACGCAGGACACTACAGTAAACGTAGGGGTTTCCATTGTAGCCTGTAAGACAATTGCATTGTGGCAGGTGATCGCGCACTTGACACTGGGCATTTGGACCACAGGTTCCGGGACAGGGATCGCGGCAATGTTGATTCAGACAAGCCAGGTGGCTTGGGCAGTCCGAGTTAAGCACACACTCCGGTCGACAGCCTTCGTAGGGATTACCAAAGAACTCCGGAAGACACTGACAAGCTCCGGCTCCATTTCTCTCCGTACAGAGAGCGTTGGCTCCACAAGGACTGGGCACACATGGTGTAAGCAGTTCGGGCACATCTCGTACCACTTGACATCCCACAAACGGATTGCCAGTTTGTCCACCAATACATGTACACATAGGAGTATGATTAATCACATAACACTCAGCATTGGAGCCACAGACTCCTGGGCAGGGATCGCGGCACTTTTGGTTGAGGCAAGCCAGATTCGTGGGGCAGTCCGAGTTCGACACGCACTCTGGTCGGCAGTTGGGTGGTGTTCCAATGAAGCCGGTAAAACAACTACATTGAGCATTGCTTCCCTGCGCACGGCATTCCGCATTAGCTCCACACGGCGACGGCTGACAAGGATCAATAGGGTCCTGCCTAGGTGGTGGTGGTGGTTGCCGGTGACAAGCCACGAATGGATTACCCGTAAAGGAACCAATGCAGTGGCAATTGGGGCTGTGATTAATTACGCGACATTCAGCGTTCAAGCCACAAACTCCGGGACAGGGATCTCGACAATGTTGCTGGAGACAAGCCAAGTGCAGCGGACACTCCGCATTACTAACGCACTCTGGTCGACATGAAGGTGAGACTCCAACGAAATCGCGAAGACAAGAGCACACAGCCTGTCCGTTAATATTGCGACACTGGGCATTTGGTCCGCACGGTGAGGGCTGGCAGGGATCGATGACATCGCGTATTGGAGCTGGCGGTATGGGTCGGCATTGGCTGAATGCATTTCCCGTCATTCCCGGTGGACAGTGGCACATGGCCACGTGTCTATGCACCTCACAGATGGCATTGGATCCGCATGTTCCAGGGCAGGGATCGATACACTTGTTTCTCACGCACGCCTTGTTCCAGTCGCATTCCGTGCTTAGCACACATTCTGGTCGACAGCCCACTAATGGATTACCCACAAATTCAGGCAGACAGCTGCATTGTCCTTGATTGCACACTGCATTAGCGCCACAAGTTATTAATGAACAGGGATCACTTATTTGAGGGGGATCTCGAGCGACTGGCGGTGGAGCATGACAGGATGTGAAGGCGTTGCCAATTAGTCCAGTCGCACACTGGCACGTAGGATTGTGATTAATAACCGTGCACAGGGCATTGAATCCACAGGCTCCTGGGCAAGGATCGCGACAACGCTGCTGTTGGCAGGACAGATGAGCGGGACAGTCGGGGTTGATCGTACACTCGGGGCGACAGTTGGGCGGAGTGCCAAAGTAGGAGGGCAGACAACTGCAGGTGGCAGTTCCCTGGTTATCCCGACACTCTGCAAACTGGCCACAAGGTGAGGGTACACAGGGATTACGATATACGTCCAACTGTGGTGGTCTTGGGGCTGTAAGTTAAAGGATGGGTGAGCAAGAATGTTGGGTACACCCTAGAGGAATTATCTTACGTGGCAGGGCTAAGCAGCGAGTAAAGGCATCGCCTGTGAAACCAGGACGACAACTGCAAATAGGGGCATGCTGGATGACGCGACAATCGGCATTGGAGCCGCACACACCGGGGCAGGGATCACTACACTTTTGCCTAATGCAAGCCTTGTCTTGAGGACACTCTGCACTGGTCACACACTCGGGTCGGCAATTGGGCGGAGCGCCCACATACTCGGGCAGACATGTGCAGATGGCCTGCTCATTGTTTTCACGGCATTGGGAGTTAGGACCACACGGTGATGGTTGGCAGGGATTGACATACTCTTTGAGAACAGCTAAAGGTATGGGAATGGATAGGTTAACATTGGACCGCAGAACGCACATTTCGCAGAACTCACGTTTCTCAGGAATTTGGCAATAGCGGTAGGGGTCACCAACAAAGCCGTTCTGACAATGACAAGTTGGCAAGTGATTAATCACTCGACACAAAGCATTCAGGGCACAGACTCCTGGGCAAGGATCCCGACATTTCATCTGCTGACAGGATTTGTGGGCCGGGCAGTCGTTATTCGTTACACACTCAGGGCGACAGATCTCGTATGGATTTCCGTAGTATTCGGGCAGGCACTGGCAGGAACCGACATTGCCTTCGTGGCGACACACAGCATTAGCTCCACAGGGATTATGAGAGCAAGGTTGTACGATCTCGACTTGCTGGATTAAAGGTACTTGCAGACAAGACGTGAATGGGTCACCAGTATAGCCTGGTAGGCAGTAACACATGGCAGCATGGCTTATCACGTGGCAATTGGCATTGGAGCCACAAGTTCCAGGGCAGGGATCGCGGCATCGTTGGTTTAAGCAGGCCATGTTAAAGGAGCACTCCGAATTGGTTACACACTCCGGCCGACAGTTGGGCGGTGTTCCGATGTATTCCGCCAGGCAGCTGCACTGCGCCTGATCTCCAACGGACAAGCACTTGGCATACGGACCACATGGAGAAGGTTGGCACGGATTCTTTGGTATAATCTCATCACGTCGCACTGGTTCTGGGAAGCAGCCCAGGAAGGGGTTTCCATTCTGCCTTGGTGGACAACTGCAAATCGGTGCATGATTTACCACATGGCAAAGGGCATTAAAACCACAAGTTCCCGGGCACGGATCAATGCAATGCTGCCTCTGGCAAGCCAGACTAGGCAAGCAATCCGAGTTATGCGTACACTCTGGTCGACAATTTGGTGGCGTTCCAATGAAATCCTCAATGCAGGAACATACAGCATTGTCGTTAAACACGCGGCAGCGACTATTCGGACCGCAGGGCGAGGGGTAGCACGGATCGGGTGGTGCCAGCAACTTGGGCGGAGTTTCACACTGGATGAAGGCATTGCCTGTCATCTGTTCCGGACAGCGACACATGGCAATGTGATTTAGAACATCACAGATGGCGTTGGGGGCACACGTTCCTGGACAGGGATCCACACACTTATGACGAACACAAGCCCGATTGCGCGCGCAATCTGCATTCAATACACACTCCGGACGACAGCCGGTATACGGATCTCCTTGGTACTCGGTAATACAAGAACATTGACCATTCCGGCACACGGCATTTGCTCCACAGGGGGAAGGAGTGCACGGGTCGTCAAAAGCAATGGGTTCGTCTAAGGGTAATGGCAAGGAGTTACACTTGGACAAAAAACATGAACACTTTCTAATTCTTACGTGGTGGCTGAGGTTTAGGGTGGCAATTGGTGAACGGATCACCCACATAGCCCACTGGGCACTGACAACTGGGCACGTGGTTACGCACGTGACAAATGGCGTTGTAGGCACAGGAGCCAGGACAGGGATCCGCGCACCGTTGATTGATGCAGGCCAGACTGGACAGGCACTCTGAACTTTGAGTGCACTCGGGTCGACAATTGGGCGGGACACCAAAGTAGTTGGACAAACAGGAGCAGATGGCTTGACCCTGGGACTGCCTACATTGGGCATTGGCCCCACAGGGAGATGGTTGGCAAGGATCGCGCACTATATCGTGGATGATGTGCGATGGTGGAGCTAAACGGGAAAGGGGAAGAATAAGAAGGGGAAACGTGACCACCACTAAAAGGCTTCTCATGTTTGAAAACTTACGAGGAATTGGGTAACAACGCGTGAAGGGATCTCCTGTGTAACCTGCTTGACAAGAGCAGATCGGAGCATGGTTCACCACCTGGCAATTGGCAGAACTGCCGCAGGCACCAGGACAAGGGTCAATGCACTTGTGACGAACGCAGGCCTTGTCAAGATTGCACTCCGAGGAAACCGTACACTCAGGCCGGCAGCCCGGCGGTGTGCCCACATACTCCGGTAGACAGGAGCAAGTGGCCACTCCATTCTGCTCGCGACACTGAGAGTTGGGCCCGCAAGGAGAGGGCTGACAGGGGTTGACATATTCCCGCATGGCTGTAAAAGAATTCAAGATGTCTAGATACGCGTTTGAGGGAGATGATCGGGGGTCTGCTTACGTTTCGGTTCAATGTTGCAATAGCGATAGGGATCACCGACAAAGCCGCTGAGACAGTTGCACGTTGGCAAGTGATTACGCACAAAGCATTCGGCATTTTGGCCACAACTTCCGGGACAGGGATCGCGGCATTTCTGATTGACACAGGCCAGCTGAGAGGGGCAATCGGAGTCGAGCACACACTCTGGACGACATCCCTCGTAGGGATTGCCGAAATACTCCGGCAGACACTGGCAGGAACCGACTCCATTCTGCTGGCGACACTCGGCAAAGGAGCCGCAAGGATTCGGGTTGCAGGGTTGCACTATCTCAACCGGTTCCCTTTGAATATCTGGTGCGCAACGAACGAATGGATCCCCACTATAGCCCGGCTGGCAGTAGCACATGGCACTGTGACTGATCACCCGGCATACGGCATCAGTGCCGCAGAGACCTGGACACGGATCCTTGCAGCGGTTATTTGTGCACACATGCAACTGACTGCACTCGGAGTTGGAGACACATTCAGGACGGCAGTTGGGCGGGGTGCCAAAGAAGTTTGACAGGCAAGAGCAGGAGGGTGTGTCGCCCACGCGGCGACATTCGCTGTTTGGTCCACAGGGTGAGGGCTGGCAAGGATCTTGACGCACAAGATCGCGTTGAGGTTCAACTAAAGGCGGTACATTAGCTATAAGGTCTATTCCAATTGAATGTCCTTTCAAACTTACTAATCACATGACACTGAACAATGGGATTGCCTGTGTAGCCGGGTCTGCAACTACAGAAAGGACTGTGGCTCACAGTTCGGCACTCGGCATAGACTCCACATGATCCTGGACAAGGGTCGACGCACCGTTGATTTTGACACGCCAAACTTGGGGAACAATCGTAGTTGGTGCTACATTCGGGTCGACAAGAGGGAGGCACACCAAAATAGTTGCGAAGACAGCTGCACACTGCTTGACCATTCTGCTCCCTACACTCCGCATTGGAGCCGCATGGAGAGGGATTACAAGGGTTGCGGTATACATCCACTGGAGAACAGGTAAAGAATGAATGGGGAGACATAAAAAAACAGACCATAACCTACATTGTAAAGGGGAACACTGCACAAAAGCATTTCCCGTCATTCGCTCGGGACAATGGCACATGGCAATGTGATTAACCACTTCGCAGATTGCATTGGTACCACAGGTTCCGGGACAAGGGTCAGTGCACTTCTGGTGTATGCAGGCTAGATTTCGGGGGCACTCCGAACTCAGGACACACTCGGGTCTACAGGCCACGTAAGGATCGCCCTGATAGTCGGCCAGACATGTACACTCTCCCTGATTTGAGCAGATGGCATTGCTGCCGCAGGGACTGGGATTGCATGGATCGCGGGGCTCTTCGCGGGCTGGTGGGGCTGTGAAGGGTTCTGTCTTAGTTCTGCAAAGGGTTAAACACTGGATAACTCTTACGTGGTGCTGGGTGGCAGGCCAGGAAAGCATCGCCCACATAGCCGCGCAGGCAAACACAACTGGGAACGTGACTGATGACTCGGCACTCGGTCTGCTGACCACAGGCACCGGGACAAGGATCGCGGCAGCGCTCGCCGATGCAAGCCAAGTGACTTGGGCACTCTGCATTGATGGAACACTCGGGACGACAATGCGGCGGAGTGCCAAAGTAATTGGGCAAGCAAGAACAAACGGCTTGATCCTGTTGATTTCTGCACGACGAGTACAGGCCACAGGGTGAAGGGAGGCAGGGATCGCGGTAGGGAACTACATCCCTCAAGGGCGGTGGGGGAACTAATATCGGGTAGAGCGGGTTAGGGTAGGTCAAATACACATAAGACTTTTTCTTGTTCTTACTCGATGGTCGGGGCAAACAGCGCACGAAGGGATCACCGGTCATGCCGGTGGGACACCTACAAATGGGACTATGGTTGCGCACCTCACAGATTGCCTGCTGGCCACAGACACCGGGGCAGGGATCAACGCACTTTTGGTTGATACATGCCTTTGTGGGGGCACATTCAGAGCTTGAGGTGCACTGGGGCCGGCAGTTGGGTGGGGCTCCTTCGAACTCGGGACGACAGGAGCATACTGCCTGCTCGTTGACCTCGCGACAATTAGAATTCGGGCCACAGGGAGACGGTTGACAGGGGTTCACATACTCATGGACAACAGCTAGTTATGGTTAGAATACAGTACAAAACAATACTTCGAATTAGTATCTACTTCCATGACTACGACCAAGTTTAGTAAAACTACGTGAATAATTGGAACTCGCTTACGTTCTGGCGGTTGGCTACAATAGCGGTATGGATCGCCGATATATCCTGCAAAGCAGTTGCACATGGGCGTGTGGTTCACCACATTGCATTCGGCATTCTGTCCACAGCTTCCGGGGCAGGGATCACGGCACTTCTGCTGCTGACAAGCTCTATTCGATGGACAATCCGAGTTCAAAACACACTCCGGGCGACAGCCTTCATAGGGATTTCCAAAATATTCTGCGAGACACTGACAGGCTCCTGCTCCATTCCGTTGGATACACTCAGCATTGGCGCCGCAAGGCGATGGTTGGCAGGGATTGATGATCTCCACATCGGCCTCAATGGGTTGACATTGTGTGAAGGGATCTCCGGTCAAGCCAGCATCACAAATGCAGATTGCAGTGTGGGAGACTACGCGACAAGTGGCACTTAAACCGCACAATCCGGGACAGGGATCGCGACACTTTTGATTGATACAAGCCATGTTCGAAGGACACTCTGAGTTAGCCACACATTCGGGCTTACAATACGGCGGAGAGCCCACGAAATCAGCAAGACACGTACAAGTTGGTGTCTCACCGACAGCGCGGCATTCGGAATTGGGGCCACAAGGCGATGGGCGGCAAGGATCCTGAGGCACAATATCTTGGCGTGGTGGTTCGATAATCTGTTGACAACCCACGAAAGGATTGCCAGTAAAGCGAGGCAGACATGTACAGAAGGGATTATGGTTCACCACACTGCACTGAGCATTGCGGCCACAAGAACCGGGACACGGATCCATACATTTTTGATTCACACACGCTTGGCGCGACAAACATTCCGAGTTTGATGTACACTCCGGACGACAAAGCGGTGGTGTTCCAAAGTATCCTGACACACAAGAGCATACAGCCTGTTGGTTGACCTCGCGGCATTGTGAGTTAGGTCCACATGGAGAGGGCTGGCAGGGTTGGACAAGGACAGGGGCTGCAAAGGAAACGTCTTGTTGGGTATTGTTGGGACTTAATCTTGGCTTTGAAGAGAAATATTTACGTGGCGCAGGCTGGCACTGAACGAACGCATTGCCATTATAACCCTCCGGACAAGTGCACATGGGCACGTGATTGAGCACAGTACAAATGGCATTAGGGGCACAGGTTCCCGGGCACGGGTCGAAGCACTTGTGACGCGAACAGGCGAGTTCTCGAGAGCAATCCGCACTTGTGATGCACTCTGGGCGGCAACCACTATAGGGGTCACCATGGTATTCGGGAATGCAGGTGCAGACGCCATTATTACACTGAGCGTTCGGACCGCAGGGCGAGGGGTTGCACGGATCATCAAGCTTAACGGCTGAGAAGGGAATGGTTTGAATCCTTTCTTCACTTTAAACAGTCGGTGTTAAGTCTTACGTGTTGGTGGCGGAGGTGGCTGGGGCTGACACTGACTGAATGGGTCACCCATATATCCTGCCGGGCAAGTGCAGCTAGGCGTATGATTGATCACATTACAAATGGCCCCATAGCCGCAGGAACCGGGACAGGGATCCCTACACTTCTCATTGATGCACGCCTGACTGCTGGGACACTCGGCATTGATGCGACATTCGGGTCGGCAATTCGGAGGGGCTCCTAAATATCCAACCACACAGGAACAGGCAGGAGCATCTCCTTGGGACCGGCACTGGGAGTAGGGACCGCAGGGTGAGGGCACACAAGGGTCAACTGGAGTCTTTTGTATAGGTGTCGGTGGTACCGCTTTTGGAATAATAAGACGGTTAAGACTGGGTCTAACCATTTAAGAACGAAATCATCACGAAATCACTTACGAGGTTTAGGGAAGCATCGGAAGAAGGCATCGCCCGTGTACCCGGCGCGACAAGAGCAAATGGGACTGTGATTCACAACGCGACAGATGGCTTGTTCACCACACGTGTTGGGACAGGGATCTATACATTTCTGGTTCACGCAGGCCTTGTCAACCGGACACTCTGATGAAATCGTACATTCGGGTCGACACACTGGAGGGGCACCCACATATTCTGGCAAACACGAGCAAATGGCTTGTTCGTTAATTTCACGGCACTGCGAGTTGGGACCACATGGCGATGGTTGGCAGGGATTAACATATTCCTTGACAGCTAGAAGGGTATATAACTCATCAAATTTTACACGATTCAAAAGACTCTGACCAATAGCCTTACGTTCTGGGACACACGACCTATATGGATCACCGGAGTAGCCCGTTATGCAGCTACAACTGGGTACATGATTCAGGACGTTGCATAGAGCATTCTGACCACAAGTTCCTGGACAGGGATCCTGGCATTTCTGTTGCTGACAGGCCTTGTTTGATGCACAATCAGAATTAAGGACACACTCAGGGCGACATCCCTCATAGGGATTGCCAAAGTACTCTGGCAAACACTGGCAGGATCCGGCATCTTGGCGAGAAGTACAGCGGGCATTGACTCCACAAGGACTGGGACTGCAAGGGTCCAACTGGTCCCGTTCCTGAATTCTCTTCTCCGTGCATAGAGTAAACGGATCACCTTCCATGCCTTCTGGGCAAACACAGCTTGGCGTGTGGGAGATCACTCGACATTCCGCTGATTGTCCACATAGTCCTGGACAGGGATCGCGACACTTCTGCTGAATGCAGGCCTGATTTGAGGGACACTCTGAACTGGTCACGCACTCGGGTCGACAATTGGGAGGGACTCCAATGTATTCCGCCAGACAAGTGCAGGAAGGTGATTCGTTTACTTCACGACATTGGGAGTACGGTCCGCAGGGTGATGGCAGGCAGGTTTGCCTTGGTGGTGGCACCGGTGGTTCGATGATCTGCTGGCAACTCACGAACGGATTACCCGTGTAGCGCTCCAAACAGCGGCAGAAGGGACTGTGGTTGGTCACATGACACTGGGCACCGCGGCCACAAACTCCAGGACAGGGGTCACTGCACTTTTGATTGCGACAGGCCAGGATTAAAGGACACTCTGAGTTGGTGGTGCATTCTGGTCGGCAGAATGGCGGGCTTCCTACGAAGGGCGTGATGCAGGAGCAAATGGCCTGTTGGTTGACAACGCGACACTGAGAATTAGGTCCACACGGCGTGGGTTGGCAAGGATTTTGTACGACGTCGAGCTCTGTAAAGTTGGCAACTTTGTAATAACTGAGAAGGAGGAGGGCTGGGTTTCACTATTCTTACGTGGAATTGGGCTGCATTGAACAAAGGCATTGCCTTGCATTCTCTCTAAGCAACGGCAGTTAGGTATGTGGTTCAGAACCTCACATATCGCGTTGATGCCACAGACACCTGGACAAGGGTCAACACACTTGTGACGTACACAAGCCTTACTACGGTCGCAATCCGTATGTAAGACGCACTCAGGACGACAACCGGTATACGGATCTCCATGGTATTCGGGCAGACAAGAGCATACTCCATTGTTGCACTGCGTGTTAGAGCCACATGGCGATGGGTTGCAGGGATCTTCTGGTGGCAGTGGGTCTCGAACTGGTTTTTTAAAGGGTAAGATATGATTTCTGAACTTCAGTCGTAGTTGGGGATAGATCTTACTTTTTTCTGGGATTGGCTGCGGATTACAAACGCTGAATGGATCACCAATGTATCCCACCACACAACTGCAAATGGGCGTGTGGTTGATTACATTGCACTGAGTGTTGAGGCCACAAGAGCCGGGACAGGGATCGCGACATTTCTGGTTAATGCAAGCCTGATGACTAGGACACTCGGCATTGATAGAACACTCCGGGCGACAACTGGGTGGAGTTCCCAGGTATTGGGGCAGGCAAGAGCATGATGGTGTGCCATGGATCTCGCGACACTGAGAGTTCGCCCCGCATGGTGAAGGAACACAAGGGTCAAGGGGTTCACGTTCAATGTCCACTGGCGGAGGAGCTGGAATTGATTTGTTTTCATTGGTAACCAAAAGCCCATTTAAATCGGTTCTGTTTTCTTACGCGGCTGACGGTAACAACGAGTGAATGGATCACCCGTGAATCCACTGAGACAGGTACAAATGGGATTGTGGTTACGCACGCGACACTCGGCCTGCTGACCACAAACATTCGGACAGGGGTCCATACATTTGCGGTTCACACAAGCTTTGTCAGCGGCGCACTCCGAGCTGCTGGTGCATTCTGGACGACAGGCAGGCGGACTACCAATAAACTCTGGCAAACAAGAACAAACGCCTTGTTCGTTGACTTCACGGCACTGCGAGTTTGGTCCGCATGGAGACGGCTGGCAAGGGTTAACATAAACTCGTTCCGCTAGAAAAAGAAACCATCGATGGTCACGAAGTCCTTGGGAAATCTGTGAAATGTCCTTACGTGGCTCGTTGACTATAATGCGACACAAGCTGTATGGGTCTCCGGTGTAACCGACCAGGCAATTACATGTGGCCAAGTGATTAACGACCTGGCACTCGGCGCTTTGACCACAAGTGCCGGGACACGGATCGCGACATTTCTGGTTAACACAAGCCAGATTCGAAGGACAATCAGAGTTTAGTACGCACTCGGGACGACAGCCATCATACGGATTTCCAAAGTAATCAGGCAGACACTGGCATGATCCTGCACCACCACGTTCCTCGCACTTGGCATTTACGCCGCAAGGACTGGGGTTGCAGGGCTGAAGAACTTCAGGGGGAGTATCCCTAAAGGGACTGCACTGACTAAACGGATCTCCAGTAAAGCCACTGTCACACAAGCACATGGCACTATGACTGAACACTCGACAATTGGCATTTAGACCACAAAGTCCTGGGCAGGGATCCACGCATTTCTGGTTTATACAAGCAAGGTTTGTGGTACACTCAGAATTGGATATGCACTCCGGTCGGCAATTTGGTGGGGCACCCACAAATTCGGGTAGGCAAGAACAAGATGGCGAGTCTCCAGACACGCGACACTCGGAGTTGGGACCACAAGGCGATGGTTGGCAGGGATTTTGTGGTCTCTCATCGCGTATTACTGAAAAAACTTCAGGCTTGAGCATGGGGGAAGCATTTAAAAAGCATGTTGGCTTACTTAGCTGTTGGCAGCTCACGAAGGGATTTCCCGACATGCTTGAGGGACAGCTGCAGAAGGGACGGTGGTTAACCACGTTGCAGAGGGCATTGAAGCCACAAGTACCAGGGCAGGGATCGCGACACTTCATATTCTGGCAATCCTGATCGGCCGAACAGTCTGAGTTTGTCACACATTCCGGACGACATTGCGGTGGACTGCCCACGTAATCAGTCAGGCAGGAGCAGACCGCAGTCTGCTGCACCACACGGCACTGACTGTTCGGACCACATGGCGATGGCTGGCAGGGATTTTGAATTTTGGCAGGAGGCACTGGTCGACACTCGAAGAAAGCATTGCCAGACATCTGTTCTGGGCAGCGGCAAATGGGAATATGGTTGGTAACCTCGCACAAGGCGTTTACCCCACAAGTTCCAGGGCAGGGATCGATACATTTGTTGCGCACGCAGGCTCGATCTCTTGGACAATCTGTGTTTAACACGCACTCCGGACGGCAGGTGACATAGGGATCTCCTTGGTATTCGGGTATACACGAACATTGGCCATTGCGACAGAGAGCATTAGATCCGCAAGGCGATGGGTTGCAAGGATCGTCGGCAACTGGTAGAGCTGGGGCTACAAAGGAAGGAATATCGATCGGGGGTAAACATTCGTTGGATCGGTAAAATCTCTTAAAACACCTACGCTCTGGAGGTTTGGGATTGCAGTTCGTAAATGGATTGCCTATATAGCCTTCGATGCAGGCGCAGAGTGGTGTATGATTGATGACACTACAGACAGCATTCTGACCGCAGGCTCCTGGACACGGATCGCGACACTTTTGGTTGATGCACGCCTGCTGACTCGGACATTCCGAGTTTATTGTGCACTCGGGGCGACAGTTGGGAGCCTGGCCAATAAAGTTAGCCAAGCAGGAACAAGCAGGAACTCCATTGATATTTCGGCATTCAGAGTTTGGACCACATGGTGTTGGTATACAGGGGTCCCTCAGAGGTTCATCCTTAGTCTCAACGATCGGCGCTGTGGTATGGGAGGGATTACTATCTCTTTCCCGATGGTTAAGAGGATCAGGCTTACGTGGAATGGGGAAGCAGCGGGTGAAGGCATCGCCTGTGAAGCCGCTGATGCAACTGCAAATGGGACTATGGTTGCGCACCCTACATATGGCATTGCTTCCGCAAGTATCCGCTGCGCAAGGGTCCACGCACTTCTGATTAACACAAGCCCTATCCGCAGAACACTCCGAGGAGATGGTGCACTCGGGTCGGCATGATGGTGGAGTTCCCACGAACAGGGGCAGACAGGAGCAAACAGCTTGCTCATTTGAAACGCGACACTGAGAGTTGGGACCGCAGGGTGTGGGCTGACAAGGATTCACATACTCGTTTTGGGGTGCTAAATAAGTAATGATGGTGTGCTTGAGTAAAGGGAGAAAAGGCATTGTTGGTGGCTGCTTACGTTCTGGCTGTCGATTACATTGACGGTATGGGTCTCCCACATATCCGGCTAGGCAGTTACATGTTGGCAAATGGTTGACCACTTGACAGTTGGCATTCGGGCCACAAGTTCCTGGGCAGGGATCCTGGCATCTTAGTTGCTGACACGCCCTGTTCGATGGACAGTCCGAATCAAGCATGCACTCCGGGCGACAGCCCTCGTAAGGATCTCCAAAGTACTGCGGCAGACACTGGCAGGACCCGACACCATTGCGATCGCGGCACACGGCATTCGATCCACATGGACTTGGGTTGCAGGGTGTTCGGATTTCGTTTTCATAGGCGATCTCCGGTGTGCACTGCACGAACGGATCTCCGTTGAAGCCCTGCTGACAGATGCATTGCACCGCATGGCTGACCACATGGCATTCGGCATTGAGGCCACAGCGTCCTGGGCAGGGATCGACGCACTTCTGGTTGACACAGGCCATTTGACTGGTGCAGTCCGAGCTGGTCACACATTCCGGCCGGCAGTTCGGGGGACGTCCAATGTAGGTTTCCAGACAAGAACAAGCTGGGGCCTCACCAACTGGGCGACACTGGGAATAAGGTCCACAAGGAGATGGGCGACAAGGATCAACGGGCACAACATCGCGAACAGGTGGTTCAACTGGGAAAGGTAACACTTGTAAAGGTGACTCTATTTCCTCCTTAATATCCTTACTCTGGGGCTGGCAACGAATGAAGGGATTACCCGTAAACCTCTCAGGACATGTGCAGAAGGGACTATGGCTGACAACAGCGCAATTTGCTCCCACTCCACATGTTCCAGGGCAGGGATCTCCGCACCGCTGATTGAGGCAAGCTTGGGTGGGTGCACATTCGGCGTTTGAGGTGCATTCGGGTCGACACGATGGCGGAGCTCCAATAAAGCTTGGCAGGCAAGAGCACACTGCTTGCTGATTAACCTCGCGGCACTGAGAATTGGGTCCACAAGGCGAGGGTCTGCAGGGATTAGTTACTGAAACTATGGGTGGGTTTGTTAGAGGGACATTTATAAAGGGTAACCATTTCGACGTACTCTGCACAGGGGAGCAACGAATGAAAGCGCTGCCTGCAGTGCGTTCTGGGCATCTGCACATAGGTATGTGATTGATAACATCGCAAATGGCATTCTCGCCACAAGTGCCCGGACAGGGGTTCACACACTTGCTGCGATGGCAAGCCTTGTCTCTGGGACAGTCGGAACTCAAAACGCACTCGGGACGGCAGCCGGAATAGGGATCGCCATGGAATTCGGCTAGACATGTGCACACTCCAGTGTTGCACTGCGCATTGGGGCCACATGGTGATGGATTGCAGGGATCCACATATTCGTCTATTAAATGGGATTTTTTGTTTACCGTTGTCATGTTAGGTTTTTGTTTGCAAGTCTTACTTTGAGTAGGCTCTGGCGGCGGCGCAAGACGGCAGCTGCTGAACGGATCACCCGTAAAGCCAGCTGGACACACGCAAATGGGCGTGTGGTTTACCACATTACACTCGGCGGCATAGCCACAGGAACCGGGGCAGGGATCTATACACTTCTCTCGTATGCAAGCCAGATTGGATGGACACTCTGCACTGATGGTGCACTCTGGTCGACAATTAGGCGGTGCCCCCAAGAATTCTGGCAAACAGGAACAGGATGGCACACCCTGCACATTGCGGCACTGACTGTTCAGACCGCAGGGCGATGGCAGGCAAGGATCGCGCTCAATACGTTCGATTTCAGGCGGTGGGGCTGGGTTGGGCATTATTATTTAATAGGTGTTCGTTATCAAGGCAAGTCAAACTCTTACGTGGCAGAGGATAGCAACGGGTAAAGGAATCACCGGTGAAACCTTGACGACACTGACACAGTGGGCTGTGATTACGCACCCGACACTCGGCATTGATGCCACAAGTGCCTGGACAAGGATCCTGACAACGTTGGCTGATGCAAGCCTTTTCAGTGGGACATTCGGTGCTTAGCACACACTCGGGTCGGCAGTTAGGGGGCAGACCGATGTGGAGCTCCAGGCAGGAGCACACGGCCTGCCCGTTGAGTTCGCGACACTGAGAGTTGGGACCACACGGTGAGGGGCGACAGGGTTGCGTTGGTTCGTTCACACGAGCAGGAGCTAGAAAGGGGCTAAGGTCAGGAGCGAACAAGAGGTGGCTTACTATTGGGGGTATCTTACGTTGTGGTGGTTCCACATGGCAGTAGCGGTACGGATCTCCCGTGTATCCGATGCGACAAGAACAGGTGGGCAAGTGATTCGTTACACTGCAGTCCGCGTTGCTGCCACAGGTGCCTGGGCAGGGATCGCGACACTTCTGCTGCTGGCACGCCTTATTGGAGGCGCAGTCCGAGTGACGTACGCACTCCGGACGACACGACTGATACGGGTCACCAAAGTGATCGGGCAGGCACTGGCAGGAACCGATGCCGTTTCTTTCGCGACAGACAGCATTCGAACCACAGGGATTGGGTTCACAAGGAGTAACCTGTTCATTGACAATGCGTTCTATGTGGGGTAAACGGATTCAAACAAAGAGAGGGAAGAGAAACGTGGACAGAGGTTTTCATTATTAACTCTCAGGTGAATCGGTTTTAGTACAGTACAACACACCTGGCGTTGGTTTTTTTTCAGCTGATTAATCCGATTGCAGTTGTGGTATTATTGTAGCGGATTAGAGTACAATTACTAGTTAGGTGTGTTGGCATTAATCGCTCCAATCGAAGAATTTTGTGGTGCAGCGGTTCAAAAAACGCTTCATTTAGTTTTGTTAAACTCTGTGTGCTGAGTGCTTTGGCGGTGTTATGTAAGTGCAATGTGCCAATTTAATTGGCATTGAGTTATGTTTTGTGTCGTAAGTAAAACAAGTGTCCTTTGCGGAGTTATATTATTTGATTTATTGCTCATTGTTAAACAATTTTTATACGCTACAGTTTTATGTTATACATTTTTAAATTTCTAATTAATTGCTAGCGCGGCTTTCGCTTTGTTTTTGACTAGTTTTTAGTTAATATCTTTGGCGTTCCGTGGGCAAAATTTTGGTGGGGGTCAACAACAACGCAGTACTCAATTTCGGGTAGTTGGGTTAGGATCAATTTGGGTAATAAGCGAGTGGAGAGACAAGGACATTTGGGTTTTTGGGCCAAATAACGAATTAGGTAAAAGCATTTCGCTAGGATTATCCCCCCAAATCAAATACAACTGTTGGAGGCGCAAGGTAATACTTTTGGAGGCAACAACGGTATCATCAAGGGTTAAAGGCAATAATCAAGGCGGGTGATTTGGTGTGAGGCATTTAAGGTTGTATAAAGAAGCAATAAGGCGTGGCAAGTTTGCATATTGTAAATCAGGCGTTAGGGGCAGTAAAAAGCAAATAAATAATTGTCGTAAACTAATTAAAATCTTTGATTAGCCCAGCATACAGACACTTCCAAGAGCACGTCCACTCAGACAACTCGTACAGAGTGTGTGCTGCTTAAAATTTGCATTTCGCTCGAGTGCATTGTGATTTATTGTGTAAAACATAACTGGTACACTCAATTTGCAATGCATTGTGCCTGTGCGTGCGGTAATCATAGATTTTAATGAATGTAAATTGTGTAGTAAAAATAACTGCCTAAGAGCACATTAGAACAAGTAACGCGGATAAAGTGACAAAAAGAAGTGCAAACACATGGTGCATTTAAAAAAAGTGAGAACATTTACAACGATTGTAATTGCTTTTAAGTGGACTTTTTCCAATTATTCTAATGCGCTTGTAATGAGTGTGAAACATTGCTTTAAAGGGTATTCAAATCTAGGGTAACAAGGGTATTTCACTGAGTTTCCAAAGGAGTTCCATTTTACTTGTTGGTAAGCCAATACTGAGGTTTCGCAATGGTTTCACATTCTTTTTAATATTTCAAGGCGTAAACAAATGTTTTGGCTGTGCGGCATTTTTGTTTGATTTTAATAATAGCAAGTATTGTACTGGGCGCTTAGTAAGCAACCAAAACCATTTAATTACGTTTATAAGCTTTATAGGGTTTACGCCTTGGCCTAACTGCTAAGTAAATGAAAACGGGTTCCTACCTTGCTCCTTTTGACAGCCGGTGAACGGATCTCCAGTAAAGCCCACATCGCAGGTGCAGATGGGTTGATGATTGGCCACATTGCAGCGGGCATTAAATCCACAGGCATTCGCGCACGGATCTGAGCACTTCTGTCGAATACAGGCCTTGGTCGGTGGGCATTCAGGATTGATGGAGCATTCGGGTCGGCAGCTTGGTGGCGTTCCAATAAAGGTAGCTGCACACGAGCAGGCTGCGTTTCCATTCAGAACCTTGCACTCGGAATTAGGTCCGCAAGGAGATGGCTGACAGGGGTTGTCTGGCGTCTGTGGTGGCTTACGCTCCTCCTGGTAGCATCGAGTGAACGGATCGCCCGTGTACCCAGTATTGCAAGAGCACGACGGGTTGTGGTTGATCACCTGGCAGCGGGCAAATTGTCCACAGGCTCCGGGGCAGGGATCCACGCACTTCCTGTTCACACAGGCCGTTTGCAGCGAGCACTCAGAACTGACGATGCATTCTGGTTTGCAGGCGGGTGGTGAGCCCAACATTCCCGGTTGACAGGCACATACTGGTCCTTGGCCGGAAATGTGGCACAGGCTATTGGGTCCGCAGGGATTTGGTTGACATGGGTCCTTCGGAACTGGCGTCTCGTGACGGCAATGCACAAACGGATCACCCGTGTAGCCCTGTAGGCAACTGCATATCGGTATATGATTCGAAACATCGCACTGCGAGTTCTGGCCACAAACTCCTGGGCAAGGATCCACACACTTCTTGTTTAGGCAAGCCTTGGTAGGCGGGCAATCAGTGCTCAAGGTACATTCTGGGCGACAGCTGGTGTAAGGATCACCCTGGTATTCCGGCAGGCAGCTACAGATGCCATTCCTGCACTCGGCATTCGATCCACACTGCTGCAGATCACAAGGATCCTGAGTAAGTGGAGGCGACTTGGTGGTCTCTTCGATAAACTCGATGCAACGGACAAACGGATCTCCGGTGAATCCTCCACGACAAGTACAGATAGCCAGGTGGTTCTGAACACGGCACTCGGAATCCACTCCGCAGGATCCGTCACAAGGGTCGCGACACTTTTCGGCGATGCAGGCTCGGTCTGGCGAGCAATCCGTGTTCACAACGCACTCGGGACGACAGTTGGGTGGTGCCCCAATAAAGTTGGGCAGGCAGGAGCAGGAGGCCTGCTCATCGCGTACCCTACATTCCGAGTTCAATCCACAAGGCGATGGTTGGCATGGTCTCTTCACTGGCTCATCCTTGGGTCCTGGAATCGGCGGCGGCGGAGCTGGATAGCAGCGGGCGAAGGGATCACCCGTCATGTCCAATGGACAACTGCAAATCGGATTGTGATTTATTACTTCGCACTTGGCATTCAGGCCACACGTCTTGGCGCAGGGATTAGCACAGCGGAACTTATGACAAGCCTTGGTCGAGGGACATTCGGCATTAACCGTGCACTCTGGCTTGCAATTAGGTGGGGCTCCAATGAAGGTATCCAAGCAGGAGCACACGGCCAAACCATTGGCAACCCTGCATTTGCTGTTGGCTCCGCAAGGGGACGGAGTACAAGGCTCTGCAACTGCAGGTGGAGGTGTGACTTCCACTCGGCGACAACTGGTGAACGGATCGCCAGTATAGCCATCGTTGCACACACAGTTGGGCACATGGTTAACAGCATAGCACTGGGCATTCAATCCGCAGATTCCGGGACAAGGATCTTGGCACTTGTTGCGGATGCACGCCTTATCCGTGGGACAATCCGAGCTCAGTACGCACTCTGGGCGACAACCCTCGTAGGGATTGCCCTGGTATTCATCAATACACTTGCATGCAGCAGCTCCATTCCGCTCGATGCACTCGGCATTCGCTCCACATGGCGATGGCTGGCACGGCTTCGGTGGTTCATCCTGCTGCGGCACACACTGAACAAAGGCGTTGCCCGCATATCCAACTGGGCACGAGCATGAAACGGCGTGTCCAATGACACGACACTCGGCATTGGTTCCGCAGGATTCTGGGCAAGGATTGCTGCACTTGTTGTTGATGCACGCTTGCGTGGATTGACAGTCCGGATTAATTATGCACTCTGGTCGGCAATTGGGTGGCGAGCCAAAGAACTCGGGTTGGCACTGGCAGACGGGACCATTTTTATCAGGCTTGCAGTAGGTATTTGGTCCGCAGGGCGAGGGCAAGCAAGGATCTTGAGGAGTATTCTTGACATCAGGTGCAGGTACAGGTGGTAGAACCACGCACTGCTTAAACGGATCTCCAGTTCGGCCAGGTGGACAACCACAAATCGGGCTATGGTTAATCACTTCACAGCGGGCCTCCAATCCGCAGGCAGCGGCGCAGGGATCCACGCACTTCTTGTTGACACAAGCCTGTAGGGCGGAGCATTCGCTGGACACCACGCACTCGGGTCGGCACTGAGGCGGTGCGCCGATGTAGCCTTCCAGGCAAGAGCACACTGCATGTCCGTTGACATCACGGCACTGGCTGTTGGAACCACAGGGCGATGGGGAGCAGGCCTCAATTATGGGGTCCTCCACGACAGGTTTCACACGGCAATTAACGAACGGATCACCCTCGTAGCCCTGGAAGCATGAGCACACTGGAATGTGGTTCATCACCTCGCACATGGCATTGTTGCCGCAGATGCCCGGGCAGGGATCCACACAGCGATTGCGCATACAGGCCTTGTCCCTGGGACAATCCGCCGAGAGTGTACACTCTGGACGACAGCCTTCGTAGGCATTTCCTTGGTAATTATTCTGACAGCGACACTCTCCGGCAAAACAGTCTGCGTTTTGTCCACACGGGTTCGGGTTGCATGGATCGTTCACAGTTTGCGTTTTCTCTGTTTCCTTCTTGGTACAGCGCACGAACGGATCTCCCTCGAAGCCCTCGATGCAGTTGCAAATGGGCAGATGGTTAAGCACATGGCACTTAGCCTCGAATCCGCAAGATCCAGAGCAGGGATCGGCGCACTTCTGGTTGATACACGCCTCCGTGGGTCCACATTCAGAATTCAACACGCACTCCGGGCGACAGCGAGGTGGTGCTCCAATGAAGTTTGGCAGGCAGGAGCAGGCTGGACTGTTGCCCACAATCTGGCACTTGGCGTTGGGTCCACAAGGAGATGGCACACATGATGCGGGTGCCGGCGACGGTGTAGTCACGTCATGGGTGATTGCTGCGAAGTTTTTAAAAAGGTTTTTATTAATCAGAAATAATTATTTTATATTTTCTTATCCGTTTTCTTTGAAGAGATTTACTTTAAAATAAATAAATTGTTTTTTAACGATCAACAAAGATTTAGATTTATAAAGGACAACGATCGGGCAGCTGTTAAAGCTGATCAAAGGTTCATTCACTTACCAACTTTAGTGCACTCGACAAATGGATCTCCGGTCATCGTACGTGGACACGTGCAAATGGGGCTGTGGTTCTTGGTGGTGCATATGGCTCGGATGCCGCAGGTGTGCAGACAAGGATCCACGCACTTCTTGTTCACACAGGCCCTTTCCGGAGCACACTCGGCGCTGACCACGCACTCGGGTTTGCAGTTGGGCGGCTGGTTAACAAATCCTGCCTGGCAAGAGCACACAGCCTGGTTATTCATAGCACGACAGTTGCTGTTGGGTCCACAGGGCGAAGGATTACATGGGTTCAGAGGTGGTCGCGGGGTAACCGGCACTGGCTTGCAGCTGAAGAATGGATCCCCAGTGTAACCCGGCGGGCAGTCGCAAGTGGGCACATGTTTGTCAACTGTGCAAATGGCATAGTCGCCGCAGATGTTGTTGCAGGGATCAACGCACTTGAATCGAGAGCAGGCTTGGACAGCGGAGCATTCATCGTTATTCTCGCATTCTCGACGGCAACCTCGTTGAGCATCATACGGATTACCCTCGAATCCTTCGTGGCAGTAACAGGCGCCAGCTCCATTCCTCTCCCGACACTCGGCATGCGGGCCGCAAGGCGATGGTTCGCAAGGAGAGTTTGGTGACTCGGTTGGTGTCACAGCTGGGATTAGCTGGCAGCCAAAGAGCGGCTCACCCTCGTAGCCATCGGCGCAGGAGCAAACAGCATTATGCTGAACCACCTGGCAAATGGCATTGCTACCACACGAACCGGGACATGGATCGACGCAAAGCTCCTGCTGGCAGGACAGATGGTTTTGGCACTCGTCGTTGTTAGTACATTCCGGTCGGCAGTTGGGCGGACGTCCAATAAAGCTAGTCTTGCAAGAACAAGCAGCCTGGTTGCCAATCTGACGGCATATAGAGTTGGGTCCACATGGTGACGGTACACAAGGGTTGTCGTCCACGTCCTTGACAGTGGGAGTGGGCTCACATCCCGAGATGGGATCTCCAGTCATGCCGGCCTGGCATGTACAGATTGGATTGTGGTTCACCACTTGGCACTTGGCATTATTACCGCAAGATCCGCGGCACGGATCTTCGCACTTCTGGTTGATGCAAGCCCTGTTTTGGGGGCACTCTGAACTGACCACGCACTCAGGTTTGCAACTAGGCGGAGCTCCAATGTAGCCCTCCAGGCAGCTGCACACCGCATGACTGTTGGTGTCCAAGCACTGACTGTAAGGACCACAGGGTGATGGCTGGCATGGATTATCTGGTCGTCTGGTAACCACCTCAATCAGTGAGCACGAGCGATGTGGATCTCCGGTATAGCCTTCGAAGCAGTTGCAATTGGGTCCGTGATTCAGGACCCTGCACTCGGCATTGATACCGCAGGCTCCGGGACATGGGTCCTGGCACTTGTTGTTAATGCAGGCACGCGATCGTTCGCAGTCGTCATTCTGGACACATTCCGGCCGGCAGCCACTATACGGATCACCAAAGTACTCCGGCAGGCAGGCGCAGGAGCCAGCTCCATTGCGCTCCCGACAGACAGCATTTGCTCCACAGGGGCTGGGATTGCAGGGATTTCTCGGTTCATCAATGGCAGGAACTAGAGGGGAGATTGGAAAATCGGACATCAACGTTAGCGGGGAATCATAAATTCGGGAGCATGCAGGGGTATATTACTTTGCTGCACGATCGCACAGCCGGAGAAGGGATCTCCGGTGTAACCAGGCACACATTCGCATGTCGGTCGGTGCTTGATGACCGTGCACACGGAGTGCAGGCCACAGGCACCGATGCATGGATTTGAGCAGCGCTGATTCACACAGGCCAGATTGGCCGGACAGTCGGCACTACTGAGGCACTCGGGCCGACAGTTGGGTGGACGTCCCAGGTAGTCGGGCAAACAGGAGCATGCAGGCGAACCGCGGACATCGAGGCATTTCGAGTTGGGTCCGCACGGTGAGGGGATGCAGGGATTACCGGACTTTTCAGTGGGTGGGGGCTCCACTACATGCCATTTAGCCATGCCAGATAGTTGAAATAGGTTCATAGCACATTTAGACAAACAATTACATAGGATAGTAGAGTTGGATAGTGGTTTACAAAGTGTACATAAAATAAATAAACATAAATAGAGAATAGAAAATCAAACATTAAAAAGTGTATATACATGCAGGAGGTAGAAATCATGGGTGAAGTGTCAAGCCAAGAAGGGGAATAGGTTTTACAACGTAAGGAAAAACCGTGCTTTAGGGGTTTTTTGAATATTTTACGGAAATCACTAAACTACGGTAAAAATATTTATGTGAAAAAGATTCGTCCCTATTTGGCTTGCACTCCTCATTCATAAAGCTAATCATGCTTACACAATATCTTAGTGCACCGGTTGAAGGGATCTCCGGTAAAACCTGGGGCACAGGAGCATGCGGGATAGTGGTTTATGACCTGACAGCGGGCCTCAATGCCGCAAGTACCAGGACACGGGTCCACACACTTCTGATTCTGACAGTTGAGATCTTGGGCGCAATCTGAGCTAATGATGCACTCGGGTCGGCAGTTGGGGGCTGAGCCAATGAAGCCCTGTAGGCACGAGCACACGGCATGGCCGTTGACCTCGCGGCACTGGCTGTAGGCGCCGCATGGCGGGGGTCTACAGGGGTTCTCATCCCGTTCGGCTGGGAAAGTGGGAGGTGGGATGAGTTGGAATGGTTTCTTTCACAAGGGTTAGTAGTGAACCTACGTGGTGGAGGCAATTGGGGAATTTCACGGCAAGCGCTCGATGGATTTCCAGTGTAGCCAGCCAAACAAGAGCAGCTGGGCAGATGATTAGACACACGACACTGGGCATTCAAACCACAAACACCTGGACACGGGTCCACGCATTTCTGGTTGACACACGATTTGTCGCGCGAGCAATCACTGTTCACCACGCACTCCGGACGGCAGCCACTGTACGGATCACCGAAGTACTCCGGCAGACACGTACAGGAACCGGCTCCGTTGCGCTCACGGCACTCGGCATTCGGGCCACAAGGCGAGGGTTGGCAGGGAGTCAGACGCTCATCGGGTATGGTAGGAGCTGGGGGCCACAAAGCTGATTAGCACTCATTCTAAATAACTCCAAGCGAGAGCTTACGTTGCGGATTGCAGCCGGCGAAAGGATCACCAGTGTAACCATTATCGCAGGAGCAGACGGGAGAGTGATTCACCACACTGCAGTAGGCATTGAAGCCACACGATCCCGGACAGGGATCCTGACAGCGTTCATTGACACAGGCCAAGGTGGCAGGACACTCGGTGTTGAGTGTGCACTCTGGTCGACAATTGGGAGCTCTGCCCACGAAATTCGGCAGGCAGGAGCACACCCCCGTCTCACCCACGACACGACACTGGGAATTACGGCCGCAGGGACTGGGCACGCAGGGATTTTCATTGGACTTGGGCTGCTCCGGTTCCTCCTGCCACGGCGCACAGCGCACAAAAGGATCGCCGCTAAAGCCGGCTGGGCAGGAGCAGATCGGGTTGTGGTTGGTCACCTTGCAAATGGCCTCGTTGCCACAAGTTCCCGGACACGGGTCCACACAGCGCTGATTCACACACGCCCTGTCCTGAGCACACTCGGAACTGACCGAGCACTCCGGACGACAGGCGGGTGGTGTGCCAATATAATTGGTAACGCAGGAGCAGACCGCATGTCCGTTCACCTCACGGCACTGACTGTAGGGACCGCAGGGCGAGGGACGACAAGGTTCAACGGGTGCGGGCACTAAAAGTCAGGGTGTTAGTTAATTAACCCATCTGAGGAATACGGAATACTATAGAGGTGGTCGATTTTTAGGGATTCGACTGAAAGCTTACGAAAATCTGATAACTAATTGTAAAATAACTTTGGAATCTATTTTAGTTTTTAAAACTTAACAAATGTGCTTAGCTATATGCAATCGTTTCCCTAATCCTCGACCCACCGTACGTGAAACTAGTTCCTACATCTTGGTATCTCCCGGCAGTATTGAGAGGGATTGCCAGTGAATCCGGATGGGCAACTGCAGCTGGGGGCGTGGTTAATCACATGACACTCGGCGGAGACGCCACATACACCCGGACAGGGATCGCGGCACTTGTTGTTGAGGCAGGCACGGTTCTTCGAGCATTCACTATTCAGCACGCACTCTGGGCGGCATTCGGTGTACGGGTCTCCATTGTACTCCGGCAGGCAGGAGCAGGATCCTACCCCATTGCGTTCCTTGCACACCGCATTGGCTCCGCAGGGACTCGGGTTGCAGGGCTGTGCCACCTCAACAGGGACAATAACTGGGGGTAATGGAAATGGGAATGGTTTAGTATCTAAGCGGAAAGCAGAGCTTTCAGATCCCTTACTCTTCGGACTACACTCTGAGAATGGGTCCCCTGCATAACCCTCAATGCAGCGGCAAATGGGTCTATGATTATTTACAAGGCAAGTGGTCTGGATGCCGCAGGTACCGACACACGGATCCTGGCAGCGCAGATTGATGCAGGCCGAATTGCCGGGGCACTCGGAGTCCGAGGTGCACTCCGGCCGGCAGTTCGGCGCCCTACCCACGTAATGCTGCAAGCATGAGCAGACAGCCTGCTCACTAGCAGCCGACACCCGGCACTGAGAGTTGGGCCCGCATGGCGTTGGCACACACGGATCGATTCGATCGTGGGTGATGGGCGGCCGCTCTACTTTCACCATTTATAACCATCACAAGACACCAAGTACAATAAACGTCATGCACCAAAATAAGCCATACATAGAGTACATATAAAAGAAATAAACATAATGGGTAAAGATATATATAGAGGATGTGAATAATGTTTTTAAGCAGGTTATGAGATGAATAAAGGGCTTAGGGCTCTCTTAGATAATGAAATGATTCGGTGAATGTTTGGCTTAAATACCCCTGCAGGGGTAATGATAAAACTTGTCAGCCTGTATTTATTAATTCAACACACCACTTATTTAAGAGGATCTTTATCATGGCTGCTGTTGGAAGAATATTCCAATAAAAAAATGACGGAAAAAGACAATTTAATCTCTATTCGTCTTTCTATGGAAACAAATCTTTCTCTGCAGGGGAATTTAAGTCTCCGGCTGGCCGAAGATAGGCTTCCTTTGACTCCTTGTCGATGCTTACTCTCTTGAGGGAAGCAGCGCACGAATGGATCACCGCTGAAGCCGGGACTGCAGGAGCAGATGGGGTTGTGGTTGACGACGCGGCAGAGCGCGTTGTTGCCGCAGGTGCCTGGGCAGGGATCCTTGCAGCGCTCGTTGAGGCACGACTTGTCCTGCGCGCACTCCGAGCTGCTCATGCACTCAGGCCGGCAGTTGGGAGGGGAACCGATATAGTTGGGCACACAAGAACAGACTGCGTGGCCATTAACGGAGCGACAGTTGCTGTACAGCCCGCAGGGCGACGGTTGGCAAGGGTTATCGGGCACTATGGGGTCGGGATCTACAGGCGTGGTAAAAGCAGCAATTAATAGCGTTCCTAACTAGGGCCCTAACTTGCAGTGAGGGAAATGATACCAAGGTAGAGAAGAAGGCATCGGGCAACCAACATACCATGGTCATTTAAAGGGTACTCAGTATTTTGGAAATGTATATCAATGTTTATCATTTCAGATAAAAACTTAAATTTATTTCTACTAACTGTCTAACTTCCTCTCTAACCTAAGTACTTTCCATCACTGCTTTCGCGGTCGGATCGAAATCTTACAACGCGGAATCTCAGGGACGAGGTGGCAACCAACGATGGGGTTACCCGTGTAACCAGGCAGGCACTCGCAGTTGGGGGCGTGGTTAAAGACGGCACATTGGGCGCTGTGACCGCACATTCCCGGACATGGATCCACGCACTTCTGGTTGACGCAGGCGCGCGACCTTGGACAGTCCGAGTTAATGACGCACTCGGGGCGACACTCGACATACGGATCGCCAAAGTATTCCGGCAGACATTTGCATGCGGCGGCTTGATTCCGCTCCTCGCACAGGGCATTCAAACCGCAAGGACTGGGACGGCAGGGTTGGATCACTTCAACGGGGGCTGTGTGGGCGGGTCAAGCATGGGAATTAAGTATCTATCTATTAAGGGAAACTATCTCAAGAACCTACTCTCTATGATCTTGTAGCAGCCGGAGAACGGATCGCCGGAGAAACCAGGCTCGCACATGCAAACCGGTGCATGAAGACTGACATGGCAGAGTGCGTTATTTCCACATGATCCGATACAAGGATCGGCACAACGAGCATTGACGCAGGCCATTCTGGCCGGGCACTCGGAATTGATGCTGCACTCTGGCCGACAACTAGGCGGTCGTCCTATGTAATTGGTTACGCAGGAGCAGACTGCTCCGCTGCTCGAAACTTGACACTGGGAGTTGGGTCCACAAGGTGATGGCACACAAGGATTGGGCGGTACAACGGGATCTGCTATTGGCGGTGGTTCTACAAGTATGATGTTTTCAGTTGGAAACTATCCAAGGGAGACAAACTATTGGGAACCTACTTCTTTCAGGCACGCACTGGTGGAACGGATCCCCGGTGTACCCATCGTAGCAACTGCATATTGGCGAGTGATTGGTGCAGCGACAGCGGGCATTGTAGCCGCATGTTCCGGGACAGGGATCTTTGCAACGTTGGTTTATACAGGCCCTATCCGAGGGACACTCGGCACTGGTCATGCACTCGGGCTTGCAGTTGGGTGGAGCGCCCATGTAGTCTGGCAAGCAGGCACACACGGGACGATCTCCAACCACATGACAAGTACTGAACAGGCCACAAGGCGAGGGTCTACAAGGGTCTTTGGGCAGGGGCAGGTACATATCTATGTGGGAAAGGTCATAGCAGTTAGATCAATACTTCTTGTCTAAAGGGTGTATAAAAGGGTGGGCCGATTTGTTTGTAAGAACGTAGACTAAGAATGTTTCATCCTTAAATAAATTAATTCAGTCCAACTCTAGCTACTATTCTCCTATACAATTCGACCCACCCCAGGATAGGGTCATACTTGAGGGTCTTTCGACGCAAGCGCGCAGTGGATTGCCGGTGAAGTCCGGTTCACAACTGCACACAGGCTGATGGTGGGCCACCCGACAGATGGCATTGAATCCGCAGGCATTGGCACAGGGATCGCGGCACTTCATGTTAATACAGGCCCGGCTGCCGGGACAGTCGCTATTCTGCACGCACTCCGGGCGGCAGTTGATGTACGGGTCACCGAAATAGTTTTGGATGCAGGTACAGGAGCCGGCTCCATTGCGTACGCGACAAATGGCATTCGCACCACATGGCGATGGGTAGCATGGGTCGGAGGGTGGATCTGGCACCACGACTGTCATGGTCATGAAAATAGCAAGCAGGCAATGCGGATGCATACAGAGGAATGTACAAATACAAAAGACTTAAAACTAAATAATAATAGTATAAAAGGTAGATGGATACATAGATGAATAATATGTACACAATACGAGGAACATGCATAGGATGTACACCACAATACCATTACTTCTAGAGCACCACTGAAAGGAACATTTAACATTAAGGGCGCTTCTCGAGCACACTTCCGTGCTCCTGGAAAGGATAGCAAATAATCGAGAGGTATGTACTCACTCTCACGCATTCTGCAGGCGGTGTACGGATCACCCTCGAAGCTCTCAATGCAACTGCACTTCGGCTGGTGATGCTGAGTGGAACACACGGCATTAAATCCGCAAATGCCGATACAAGGATCTTCGCATCGCTGACGTATACAAGCCCGATTCGAAGGGCAATCCTGGTTAATCACACACTCCGGTCGACAGTTGGGCGGGGCCCCGAACATTCCAGGGGCACAAGAGCACTCCGCTCTATTGTTAACATTGCGACAAATGGAGTTGGAGCCACATGGGCTGGGCAGACAGGGATCCACATTGCGAGGCGGTTCTGATGCTGCATAGAATTTAATAATAAATATTAATTCAATAACTAATTAATCGTTTTGCTTACGTTTTGGCACACATTGTTCAAACGGATCGCCAACATAATTGGCTGGACAGGAGCAGATGGGGTTGTGATTGTTCACTTGACATTTGGCATTGAATCCGCAAGTCTCGGCACATGGATCCGTACACTTTTGATTGATGCAGGCAAGATTTTGGGCGCACTCCGAGCTGACCACACATTCGGGTCTGCACTGAGGCGGGGCTCCAAAGTATCCAACCTGACAACTGCACGTGGGATGTCCCTCGACGGTGCGACATAAGCTGTTAGGTCCACAGGGATTTGGCTCACAAACGCCCACTGGTCTCGTAATCGCAATTCGCTTGCATCCTTCGAATGGATTACCCTCAAATCCTCGGGTACAACTGCAGGAGGGCAAGTGGTTTACGACCGCGCACTCCGCATTCGCTCCACAAGCTGCCGTGCAAGGATCGCGACAGTGCTGCTTGATGCAGGCCAACGACGAGGGACACTCCGAGCTGTAGATACATTCCGGACGACATCCAGTGTTGTAAGGATCGCCATTGTAGGGCTCAATGCAGGAACAGCGAGCGGCATTATTGTGAGGCGTGCATACAGCGTTCTCTGCACACGGATTAGGGTAGCAGGGATCTATGTGGTCTTCGGGTTCTAAATTGGAAACATAGTCAATTAGATTTTGAATACTTTCTTACTTTATATATTTCAATAGTAAACAGTTCTACTTACTGGGTGTGTTTTTCTTGGAGCAGCCGATAAAAGCATCACCCTCGAAGTCCTCATCGCAACTGCAGTGGGCGGAGTGGGCGATGACCGTACAACGGGCATTGTGTCCACATATGTTGGCACACGGATTCTGACACTTCTCCTGGATGCAGGCCTTGTCCGACGGACACTCGCTGCTCAGAGTGCACTCCGGCCGGCAATACGGTGGGCTGCCAATGTAATTGGCCACACACGAGCAGACTGGTCGGTTTTGTTTGATCTGGCAGATGGAGTTGGGTCCACAAGGCGATGGCACGCATGGGTTCTTTGGCACAGCAATTTCGCGACCTGGATCCTGAATGGGTGAGCACGCCACGAATGGATCGCCCTCGAAATTTTGCTCACAAGAGCAAATTGGGTTGTGGTTAAGCACTTCGCAGCGGGCTCCACCACCGCAGATACCCGGACAGGGATCGGCGCACCTCTGATTCAAACAGGCCTGGTTGGGAGCACACTCCGAGCTAACCACGCACTCCGGCTGGCAGACTGGTGGAGCTCCCTTGAAGTTCGGCAGGCAGGAACATGTTGCATAGCCATCAGGGGTGGCCTTGCAACGGGAATTCGGTCCACAGGGCGATGGCTCGCACGGATTTGGTCGTACTGGAGGTGGCAGGTAGAATGGATTACAGGCAATGAAGGCATCTCCACTGAATCCCTCGGCGCAGATGCAAACCGGTGCATGGTTAACCACACGACATACGGCATTGATGCCACACACTCCGTTACAAGCCTCCACGCACTTGGAATTGAGGCAAGCCTTCTCCGCAGGGCAGTCACTATTTAGGACGCACTCTGGCCGGCAGCCGATATGCGGTTCTCCAAAGTAACCTTTACGACAGACGCAGGCCAGACCGTTGTGCTGACGTTTGCACTCCGCGTTGGCACCGCAATGAAGCTTGGCGCAGCTTGGTTGTGGTGGTGGCTCAATTACCGACTGTGTGGTACACTGTTCGTAGGGGTTTCCAAAGAGTCCCGTGGGACAAGCGCAGACAGGGTTATGCTCGTAAACATTGCACACAGCATTCCGTCCGCAGGATCCGGGGCATGGATCTAGACAGCGTTGTCCCAAACAGGCGCGATCAAATGGACAGTCCGAGTTGGCCACACACTCCGGTCGACAGCGGGGATTCTGTTGGGCATTGGGTCCGAAGCAAGGATCGCAAAGGGCAACTCCATCGCCGAACACCGAGCAAACGTCTTGAGGACCACAGGGCGAAGGGGCACATGGATCCCTCGACACGTTCTTCAGTATTCCAATAGCCACGCACTGCAAAAAGGCATCGCCGACGAATCCGTCCAAGCAAAGACATACTGGCGTGTGCTGGCGTACATTACAGATGGCATTAATGCCACAAATGGCTCCGGCACAGGGATCCACGCACTTGTGGTTGATGCACGACAAGGTGTCACCGCAATCGGAGTTGATGTCACACTCTGGCTGGCATCCCGACTGAGGATCACCCAGGTAACCGGGAATGCACGAGCAAACAGCACGGTTATTTAACAGCTTACACTCGCTATTCCGGCCACACGGGCTGGGAACACAAGGATTCTTTTTGGGATGGTCCAGTGCATAGCAGCGTACTCCTGGGTTACCGGTCAATCCCGAATTACAAGAGCAAACTGGGTGATGTTCTTCCACCCGGCAGTGAGCTCCTTGGCCACAGGCTCCCGGACAGGGATCGTAACAACGGTAGCCCATACAGGCCTTGTTGTTCGGGCAATCAACATCCACTTGGCACTCGTAGCCGTGGCAGCCAATAAGGGATGTGGGATCGCCGGACAGGCCGTCCGGACAAACACAAGCGGTTTGTCCATCGCCGGCCACCACGCAGTTGGCATTAGGTCCGCAAGGATTGGGATCGCAAACGGTGCGACTTGGTTCACGGCATCCTTGATAGGCGTCTCCCACATATCCAGAGCGGCAGTAGCACTCCTCGCGATTTCCAGCCACATAGCAATCAGCATTTCGGCCACATGGTCCTGGTTGGCAAAGCTCAATGGTAACGGCTGGCTTGTCGCACAGCCTGAAAGGATTACCAATCTTGTTGTCCGGACAGTAGCACACGGGCTGACGTGATGAATCGCAGATGGCACCAGTTCCACAGGGGTTGGGGTCACATGGGTTAATGGGTTCGACACAGCCTCGAATGGTGTTCGGACTCTCCACATAGTTCGGCAGACAGGTGCATTTGGAGAAACCGTTGCTGAGTACGGAGCACTGGGTATTCGGTCCGCAAGGCGACGGATCGCAGGGATTCGAAGGTAGCTCGCAGGGAATCGATGGCGGCTGTCCCTCGTACTCCGGCAGGCAGAAACAAATCGGGTTGCCATCCACACGACGGCATCCGGAATTGGGACCGCAGGGATTCGGTGTGCACTCATCTCCCTCCGGAACTGAGAATGGTTTAAGAGTTTCCAGAAAACAATGTTATTACAGAGTAAAAAAAATGTAGCTTTACATTTTTTTTAATATAGATACAATACTCACTGCAATTTTTAAATGGATTTCCGGTAAGACCCTTGGGGCAGTAGCAGATGGGGTTGCCATTGTCCAGCTCGCACAGGGCATTTAAGCCACATGGATTGGGATCGCATGGGTCTTGGGGCGGACTGCAACCCACCTGAGGGTTTCCATTGTAGCCAGGCGGGCACTTGCACACCCCACGATGGTTGATCACATCGCAGAGAGCAAAGGATCCACACTGGCAGGGCGATGAGCACTTTCCGTTGATGCAGGCCTGATTCGAATCACACTCGGAATCGGCACGGCAACCTTGACTAGGAAGACATTGCACATAAGCGTTGCCCAGGAATCCGGGCAGGCAGCGACAATCAGTTCCGTGGTTCACGGGAATGCACTCGGCATTCTCGCCACAAGAGTCCTCTTGGCAGGGATTAATACAGCGCCGGTTCAGGCGATCGCAGAGCTTCGTCGGCGGACAGTCCTCGTTGTATTGGCAGACATTGGGACGTGCTGTTTTTTTTTGGTTAGGGTTACGGTGCGATTCGGTTGGATCGGTGGGTGTATTTATAGTTTGTTGTTTGATTTTTAGAGTTGAATTGGTGTCGGGACGGTACAAGTTTTATACAAGTGTCGTGGTGTACGGGGGTTTGTACAGTGTATGAAAGAGAGAGATTTTTGGAAATGAGACATTGTGACACATTAGCAGAGGATTTTTTGGAGGACAACAGAGGTGCGCCATCGTGTTGATCAAGGGTATACTAACCTGGCTGACAGCCAACAAATCCATTTCCCTGGAAGCCATCCGCACAGCTGCAATCGGCTGCATGGTTGCTGTTAACGCAAACGGCGTTTGTGGCACAAGGATCATGGACATCGCATGGATGCTGGCAGAGCTGATTGATGCATGCTTCTGTGACTCCGCAGTCCGAGTTTTCTGTGCATTCAACTGTAAGTTGGTTAAGTAATATTAGTTGTTGTCCCATAAATTCAAAGCTAAAGACTTGGTAGTTCATCCCATGCATTAAATTAAGTTGTTGATTAATTGATTAGTGTCTTACTTGAGGTTTGGGTTGTTACACATTTGACCATCGGATTGCCCTCATGACCCTGCGGACAGGTGCAAACTGGTCGATGACTCTTGGCCGTACACTTGGCACTTGCGGCACAAATCTTGGCAAACTCGCACGGATCCTGGCACAGACCCATGTAACAGGCCTCGCTCTCAATGCAGTCGTTGTTAGATTGGCAGGGTTCAGGTGTTTTCGGTGAACCCGGCGGTTCTACTTGTTAGAAATGATTTAGTGAGTTAAATAGTTAATACAATGGTGAAGATTTTTAAATTAAATTAATAGATAAATATGTACAAGGGCTATACTAAGTATGTACATTTTTTTACAACAAAATTGGTTGGTAACGCCAGAAAACGAGCCCTATACATAAACATTTATGTACAATTGAACAGTATTAGTGCCACTTTGGGATTTGCAAATTGGGTGTTTTAAATGTTTTATCATAGTTTTAACTGTAGAAATATGTGTCATACATTGCTGAAATTGAGTGTGAGAAAAGTAAGGGAAAATCCCAAAGTGGCGTGCATGTAACATAAAAAGTTAATATACCTTTCTTACGGCAATGCCCCAGCTTACAGTGCTCGTTAGGGGCACAGTTAGTATCTACTGTACATGGGTTAATTAATGAGATGTCAGTGGTGTTGCCCAGTGGGGCAATCATGGTGTTGGTGCTGTAGACCTCCGTGGTGGTGCCCGCCGTGGTAGGCAACTCTATTGGCCATGCCGTTGTGGTGTCTGGAACTTCGTTGGAAGTATCCAGCCGCGTGGTCTTCATCTTAGGCGTTGTAGTGGACCGCCTCTGACTGTCACTAATAATATCTTCGCCCCGCAACGTGGTCGTCTGGATTGTCGGCCTTGGAGTTGGCGTATCGGTGATATTGTTCTCACCATCGCGATATCGCCTTGTGGCATCGGTGTGGGAGGTGGTGCTTTCTGTGTCTGGTTTTTGATTCTTACTGGTCTGGTTAGTAGCGCTTGTGATTGTGCTCGATTCAATGCTAGTGGAGGAAGTGGTAGTAGTGGTTGTGGTCGTGGTGGTGGTTCTTGTGGTGGCCTTTGTGGTAGTCGGCGTCGTTTTGACGCCTGTGTTTGGGTTAGCTGTTGTTCTTGGTTTCGTTGGTATCTTGGTAGTTGTGGAGTTCTTGGTAGTAATAGTTGTTATTGTTACATTAGCTAAGGAGAGAGATGTATTTACATGGGTAAAGGGAGGTTAATTTATATTAGAATATGTACACAGCGTATTTACACTTAACATTAAGAGTTTTAAGTTGATTAAGGAAAATAAGTGCTGGGAGAACTTACCCTTTATACAAGCACCGGTTGTGGGATCACAGTTTGCGCCCGGTGGACAATGTTCGCAGCCAGGCGTACGACCATGTTCTATATAGTTTAAATGAGATCGGTCTTTCTGGAGTTTTTAATGTTTAACACTGGGACTCACCGGCTGAGCACAATGGCTGATGGTTAAGAACACGGCAATCCTCATTACGGCTGCAGGGATTGTTGTAGGTACAAGGATCCACGCAAAGAGCATTGATGCACGCCTGCAGGGAGGGGCACTCCTCACTCGATGCGCAACCGATTTCTGTTCGTGCGTTGAAAGCAGAATACATTAATGCATTAGTTCGGGTACATTTAGACATTTTATCATAGCACATATGTGCGTTAATATAAAGTCGTTAAAATTTTTGTCATTCCTTTTATTTAGGTCAAGATTCCTGTTCGGTAGGTAGTTTTCTTTTTCATAAATTTTCAATGCAGTTAGTATAACTTTTTCGTTAAATGTAGAATCCTTATTCTAACTTTTCAACTCCAGATTCAAGCAGAGTAATTACTATGTAGCAGGATTTAGCATTAGTTAAATATATTTTAGTTTTGGCAGTTGCTTTAAACAACATATACACATGCAAAAGCATTAAGTGAGTTAGTGCATACCTTTATTAGCTAAGATTTCATATAATTAGTAATCCAAATACCACATGCAAACATTTTTACTAAAGACTAAACACTTACGATACATGATTAACGACAACGAGTATGTTTACTAAATATAAAAAAAATCAACACAGTTTAGAACACATTGGAAAGGTTTCGCGCTGAGATACAAAACATGCTAGTTGAGATCCTTCGAAAACTTAACGAAAAACATTCAAAGTGGGGTGGACGATGACAGAGGATTTGATGATGACTTTTGCAGCAGGCATTTAAGGTGACAAAAAGCAGGCAACTAACATGAACGAATAACATTGAAACATAAATCGACATGCAAACGACTGCACTAAAGAGTAAACTCCCAAGAATTGGCATTCGGTCAAAAGCTTCTTTGATGGACACACAAACTTCGAACTAACTCGGGTGCTGCTCGTGGTGAAGAAATCGGTGGGAAAAGGTGCAAGGCTTTCAGCAATACAGCCAGAAAAGCAGTAAGAAGAGGGGAACAAAGACAAATGCATTTGGAAAAGTCGAGGACAAAGAACACTCAGGAATTGCGAGAAATAATCCAAATGGTTGCATGCAAGGTGCCCGCACGATTCAAATGGGTCATACATATATATGAGCCACAAAAAGGATAATGGCTGTAAATCCAAAAGAAGAGTAAGAAAATATGACATCCAACTGAAGTAGGCCACTACAATTTGCCAGTTATGTGATTGGCGTTGAAAGTAGTCAGCGATGCCACGATGCCAAGAGTTTACCGCAACCCTGTGGTTCCTTGCAATTCATTCATTATGATTCGATAACAAGACTTACAATTTATATACACAACTTTAGTTACCTGCTTTTATAGAGCAATCGGGTCTATTTACATCATCGTCGGTATCACAGATGCACATTGTGGTGTGGTTCAATGTACGACAAATAGTCAGATTCTGAACAGTGCAGAGATTGTTGAAATATTCACAAGGCGATATGCACCGCCCTCCTACGCAAGTCTGGTCGTCCAAGCAGTCGTGCTCTGTTTTACAAGTCATTACAGATTCTGTCGTTGGTCTATTTGTCACAGTTAGGTCTTTCGCATTTGGCATTTCCATTGAAACGGGTTTCAACACCGATATAGGAGTGGATTCGTTTAAAGTAGGCCAAATATGCATAGGCACAGTAGGAATAGTAGTTTCATTTATATTCCTTACAGTTGTCACTTCGCTTAGAGTTTTAATCGTATGTTCCGTCATTTGTCCACGTGTTGTAGCAATAGGAACATATGTTGTTGTTTCGGAAGTGATTGTTTGGAGAGTAGTTTCTATTATTGGTGGACTAAGAGTTGATCTATCAAAAAGCTTTGTAGTTGGTTCTTCTCTAGAAGATTCTGTCGTTGGTTCACTTATGTGACCAAGGGTTGTTCCCCGAGGTAATGTCGTCGGTTTTTCGCTAATTTCGGATGAAGTGGTTCCATCCGATGACTCTGTTGTTACGTCAATTGGAGTTTTGGTCGTCGGTTCCGTCACTTGCCTATGTGTTGTACCAATTGGAATATATGTGGTTGTTTCCGTAGTGATTGTTGGGACAGTAGTTTCTATTATTGGTGGGCCTAGGGTAGATCTATCAACAAGCTTTGTAGTTGGTTCTTCTCTGGAAGATTCTGTCGTAAGTTCAGTTTCTCGACCAGGGGTTGTTCCCCGAGGTAATGTCGTCGGTTTTTCGCTACTTTCGGATGAAGTGGTTCCATCCGTTGACTCTGTTATTACGCCGCTAGGAGTTTTGGTCGTCTGTTCCGTCACTTGTCCTCGTGTTGTACCAATTGGAATATATGTGGTTGTTTCCGTAGTCATTGTTGGCACAGTAGTTTCTATTATTGGTGGGCCTAGGGTAGATCTATCAACAAGCTTTGTAGTTGGTTCTTCTCGAGAAGATTCTGTCGTTGGTTCAGTCGATCGTCCTGGGGTTGTAGAGGTTCCATCCGTTGACTCTGTTATTACGCCGCTAGTAGTTTTGGTCGTCTGTTCCGTCACTTGTCCTCGTGGTGTACCAATTGGAATATATCTGGTTGTTTCAGAAGTGATTGTTGGGACAGTAGTTTCTATTATTGGTGGACTAAGAGTTGATCTATCAACAATCTTTGTTGATGGTTCTTCTCGAGAAGATTCTGTCGTTGGTTCAGTCGATCGTTCTGGGGTTGTACCCGGAGGCAAAGTCGTCGGTTTTTCGCTACTTTCGGATGGAGTGGTTCCATCCGTTGACTCTGTTATTACGCCGTTAGGAGTTTTGGTCGTCTGTTCCGTCACTTGTCCTCGTGGTGTACCAATTGGAATATATCTGGTTGTTTCGGAAGTGATTGTTGGGACAGTAGTTTCTATTATTGGTGGACTAAGAGTTGGTTTATCAACAAGCTTTGTAGTTGGTTCTTCTCGAGAAGATTCTGTCGTTGGTTCAGTCGTTCGTTCTGGAATTGTACCCGGAGGCAATGTCGTCGGTTTTTCGCTACTTTCGGATGGAGTGGTTCCATCCGTTGACTCTGTTATTACGCCGCTTGGAGTGTTGGTCGTCTGTTCCGTCACTTGTCCTCGTGTTGTACCAATTGGAATATATGTGGTTGTTTCGGGAGTGATTGTTGGGAGAGTAGTTTTTATTATTGGTGGACTATCAACAAGCTTTGTAGTTGGTTCTTTTCGAGAAGATTCTGTCGTTGGTTCAGTCGTTCGTCCTGGGGTTGTACCCGGAGGCAATGTCGCCGGTTTTTCGCTACTTTCGGATGGAGTGGTTCCATCCGATGACTCTGTTATTACGCCGCTAGGAGTTTTGGTCGTCTGTTCCGTCACTTGTCCTCGTGTTGTACCAATTGGAATATATCTGGTTGTTTCGGAAGTGATTGTTGGGACAGTAGTTTCTATTATTGGTGGACTAAGAGTTGGTCTATCAACAAGCTTTGTAGTTGGTTCTTCTCGAGAAGATTCTGTCGATGGTTCAGTGGTTCGTTCTGGAATTGTACCCGGAGGCAATGTCGTCGGTTTTTCGCTACTTTCGGATGGAGTGGTTCCATCCGTTGACTCTGTTATTATGCCGCTTGGAGTGTTGGTCGTCTGTTCCGTCACTTGTCCTCGTGTTGTACCAATTGGAATATATGTGGTTGTTTCGGAAGTGATTGTTGGGAGAGTAGTTTTTATTATTGGTGGGCCTAGGGTAGATCTATCAACAAGCTTTGTAGTTGGTTCTTCTCGAGAAGATTCTGTCGTTGGTTCAGTCGTTCTTCCTGGGGTTGTACCCGGAGCCAATGTCGTCGGTTTTTCGGTACTTTCGGATGGAGTGGTTCTGTTAGTGGACTCTGTTATTACGCCGCTTGGAGTTTTGGTCGTCTGTTCCGTCACTTGTCCTCGTGGTGTACCAACTGGAATATATGTGGTTGTTTCGGAAGTGATTGTTGGGACAGTAGTTTCTATTATTGGTGGACTAAGAGTTGATCTATCAACAAGCTTTGTAGTTGGTTCTTCTCGAGAAGATTCTGTGGTTGGTTCAGTCGTTCGTCCTGGGGTTGTACCCGGAGGCAATGTCGTCGGTTTTTCACTACTTTCGGATGGAGTGGTTCCATCCGTTGACTCTGTTATTACGCCGCTAGGAGTTTTGGTCGTCAGTTCCGTCACTTGTCCTCGTGTTGTACCAATTGGAATATATGTGGTTGTTTCAGTAGTCATTGTTGGGACAGTAGTTTCTATTATTGGTGGGCCTAGGGTAGATCTATCAACAAGCTTTGTAGTTGGTTCTTCTCGAGAAGATTCGGTTGTTGGTTCAGTCGATCGTCCTGGGGTTGTACCCGGAGGCCATGTCGTCGATTTTACGCTACTTTCGGATGGAGTGGTTCCATCCGATGACTCTGTTATTACGTCACTTGGAGTTTTGGCCGTCGGTTCCGTCACTTGTCCTCGTGGTGTACCAATTGGAATATATCTGGTTGTTTCGGAAGTGATTGTTGGGACAGTAGTTTCTATTATTGGTGGACTAAGAGTTGGTCTATCAACAAGCTTTGTAGTTGGTTCTTCTCGAGAAGATTCTGTCGTTGGTTCAGTCGTTCGTTCTGGAATTGTACCCGGAGGCAATGTCGTCGGTTTTTCGCTACTTTCGGATGGAGTGGTTCCATCCGTTGACTCTGTTATTATGCCGCTTGGAGTGTTAGTCGTCTGTTCCGTCACTTGTCCTCGTGTTGTACCAATTGGAATATATATGGTTGTTTCGGATGTGATTGTTGGGGCAGTAGTTTCTATTATTGGTGGGCCTATTGTAGATCTATCAACAAGCTTTGTAGTTGGTTCTTTTCGAGAAGATTCTGTCGTTGGTTCAGTCGTTTGTCCTGGGGTTGTACCCGGAGCCAATGTCGTCGGTTTTGCACTACTTTCGGATGAAGTGGTTTCATTCGATGACTCTGTTGTTACGTCACTTGGAGTTTTGGTCGTCTGTTTCGTCATTTGGCCTTGTGTTGTACCGATTGGAATATATGTGGTTGTTTCCGAAGTGATTGTTGGGACAGTAGTTTCTATTATTGGTGGACTAAGAGTTGATCTATCAACAAGCTTTGTAGTTGGTTTTTCTCGAGAAGATTCTGTCGTTGGATGAGTCGTTCGTGCTGGGGTTGTGCCCAGAGGCAATGTCGTCGGT